CCTCTTCCTCCTCTTCCTCCTCCTCCTCTTCTTCTTCTTCTGCTTCTTCTTCTTCTTCTTCCTCTTCTTCTTCCTCTTCTTCTTCTTCATCTTCATCTTTGTCGTCGCCTTCATCTTCTTCTTCTTCTTCTTCGTCTTCTTCTTCTGCTTCTTCTTCTTCTCCTCTTCTCTTCTGCTTCTTCCACCTAGAGTGCACATCATTTTTTTGGGGTCACCTCTCTATGGCCGGCGGGTTTGCCGAAGGCAGTTAATACAAAGTCTTAAATATATGTATATATATAGTTATCTTCTAAGGATTATACAGTAGAATTTAGGATCCAGTATGTTTAAATCATTTTAAATCTATCGAATAAAAATGCATATAATATGTATATAGATATATACATATAAACTACTGTGATTCGGATGTTCACCGAAACCTTTGGGTAATAATGGTGGTTAGAGCCATATCAGCATATATTTTAATATGTTTGTTTTTTGATTTTTGAGAATGGGATTTGATTTATTCGACGTCGTTGAGGTACGATTTCTTTTTCCTGCAGGCGGCGAACAGAAATGGAATTAAATCCTGACGGCAGAAAAGTTGTCCGCAGATCAAGAAAATAGAAAGTAACAATTCCCAAGCAGTCCTGTTGTGCCATTTGATGCGCTCTTCCTTCACCAAATTGATCTCTTCTTCCCAGCCTGCGCTAGAGCACTAGAAAATCTGGAATCAGAGTTGCAATCTGTTGCAATATAAACTCCTGAATTCAAGCTCCACACAGCTGGCCTGTGTGGTTGGTGCGATCCATTCGCTGCCCTTCCTGCAATGCCCAAACTGCCTGGAGCCATTGGGTGAATCTGCATCAAGCGCCGGTGGTGCCGGTGCCATTGGTGCCTCATCATATCGATGAAGCTTTCCAAGGATGATGCCTTCTCTGAATTTTGCCTCGCGCGGGCTTCGGAATACCTTTTAGGCCCTAAAAAGGCCCGCTCGCCCAAAACCAATTGAAACCAGTCTTGCCATGCACGACTTGCTGCATTGAAATCACTGAAAAGAAAAAATGATTGTGCATCTCTGCGCACAGGACCCATGTACGACATGCATTGCATGCATTTGACCTCGCACATACAATTCCATGACATACCCAATGTTCTCAATAGAATTGAAATATTATAATAATTATGGACAATTATGATGTGTTTCTTTAACCATGTGTTTGCGCAGCACCCTCCGAACAGTGCACCTTGTGCCAAGTTGGATTGATCTCAAGGGCTCTCTGAGCATCCTGGCAGGCTTAGGTCCTTACTAGACCTGCATCCCATGGTGTATCCCATTCCAATCCTATGACATCAGATCCCACCAGGCTGTGGGACGTGGGACAAGGTCCTCCAGAATCTCTTCCAACTTAAACTTCTCGGTTTCGAAGGCCAATCGAGCGGCCTGAAGATTGGATGTCAAGTTTGGGGAACCCTAAAATTGAGGAAAGCACCTCCATTACACGCGTAGGATGATGAGTGATGAGAGATTGCTTGGGCAAAAGCGACTGCTCTTTTGCCATCGGTACTGATTATCAATCCACTTTGAATGACAAGGGTGATCCAAGGTTCAAAGGGGGCCAAGGCAGCAAACAAAGGCTTAAAGTGAAAGTATGAAAAGCAAAACCTACCCGAATGAAATCCCCTCTGCAGACTTCAAGGGATGTTTAAAATTTGCCAAAATTCTGTATGGAGGACGAGAGGATATGATGACATCCATTGATCTGTACCCCGGTCCAACTGGGGCTTCCGGACTGCTCGGTTGGTCAAGGTGATGTAGCTGTCGGGATTGCGCTCCAAGGTGCGATCATAGCACTTCACAGCCTCGGGAGTCAGCATGAATCAGCTGAATTTTGCTGAAAGATGATCACCCTTGAGATCACTGCGGCGCGGTATTGGCTCTCTCGAAAGTAGGCATCACCTTTGGCCTGCCAATTACAAGGAGACGAACCGCACTCAGCTGGATGTTTTTCCATGTCTCCTCTTTGTATGATGTTTTTGCACATGCTCATGTCATCCATGTTCTTTTCACAAATCGCATATATATGAATTGCACACTACCATGCGCTGTACACTGCAAAAGTCACAAAACTGAAACTTGAAACAGATCTCTGGCAGTTGGAAGAGGAAACAGATCTCTGGCAGTTGGAAGAGGAAAGCCGCGCATATGGTAGCCGGACATTGGGCTGAGCGGACTGACGGCAGGAAAACTTGAAACATCTTGAATCTTGAAACTTATCATACCTCTTGGATGCACATTGGAATCCAGTCTCAAAAAGTGAGAAGCTGCTCTAGCTATCTCTAGCTCACCAGTTGGCAGTGAAGACTTTAGCTGCTCTAGCTATCTCTACCTCACCAGTTGGCAGTAGGTTGTCCTGTCAGTACCTCCACAGCACCCCTCCTGCCCCAATGTCTTGCAACTCCCGACCGTAGTGATGGAATCTTTATCACAGCACTGTCCATCCGCGTCACCACCGTTGCACCGGGCGAGGCATTTGCCGGGATCCGGCCTCACCAGTTGGCAGTAGGTTGTCCTGTCAGTACCTCCACAGCACCCCTCCTGCCCCAATGTCTTGCAACTCCCGACCGTAGTGATGGAATCTTTATCACAGCACTGTCCATCCGCGTCACCACCGTTGCACCGGGCGAGGCATTTGCCGGGATCCGGCCTCACCAGTTGGCAGTAGGTTGTCCTGCCCCAATGTCTTGCAACTCCCGACCGTAGTGATGGAATCTTTATCACAGCACTGTCCATCCGCGTCACCACCGTTGCACCGGGCGAGGCATTTGCCGGGATCCGGCCTCACCAGTTGGCAGTAGGTTGTCCTGTCAGTACCTCCACAGCACCCCTCCTGCCCCAATGTCTTGCAACTCCCGACCGTAGTGATGGAATCTTTATCACAGCACTGTCCATCCGCGTCACCACCGTTGCACCGGGCGAGGCATTTGCCGGGATCCGGCCTCACCAGTTGGCAGTAGGTTGTCCTGTCAGTACCTCCACAGCACCCCTCCTGCCCCAATGTCTTGCAACTCCCGACCGTAGTGATGGAATCTTTATCACAGCACTGTCCATCCGCGTCACCACCGTTGCACCGGGCGTCGCATTTGCCGGGATCCGGGGAGTCGCATTGGGTGCTTTGGTCCTCAATGCAGGTGGTTGAAATCGAGTCGTCCAGCTGGTTCCAGTCCCAGAAGGACATGCCTGCTAGGCCGTATTCAGCGATGAGCTCCTTGAACCAGTCGACCATGTAGGCCTCAAGACCCTTTGTGGTCAGCGAAAGAATGATCTTGCTGTTTGGGACATCAGAATCAATCCAATCTTTGATGTAAGGCCATGTGCCACCGCTTGTTGGATCATCCTCTGGGATGGAATACGTGCCAGACGTCATAGAATCACCGTGAATCATTATAGCAAAATAGTCGAAAGTATCCGCGTACGTCGCAGCAGTGGAGTAGGTACCCACCAAGCAAGTAACTTGAGATTTGGCATCAGGATAAGTTTTCTGGATTGTCTCAGTCAGAGTGGAAGCAGTGCAGAATTCACCTTTGAGTACTCCTTCCAAATCGAAATCCAAGTTTTTTGCGTTGGACCTCGAGAACCAGCACTCGATTGTACTAGCACTAGGAACATCTCCTTCCACGCCATCTCCACCCAGTGTGATGTAGTTGTCTGAGGCTGAGCCAGTCGCAGCTGGTGGTGTGGTGGAGATGCTTTTGTCGAAGGCTCCAACATGCTGCTGCCATCCACTGGGGATGTCATCACACGCTGTCAGCCAGTCGCCACTACTGCAATAGGCCTGCAAAACGTATGGCAAGGTCCCTGTGTAGGTCGAGGCCCGCCGCTTGCGCCTCTGGCTGCTGTCCCTGTCGTTGGCTTCGCCTTTTGCATCTTTGGCATCTTTGGCATCTTTGACTCCAAGCTGCACCAGACTTGGCTCGTCACAGGCAGAGTTTGCGATGGAGTCCGTGCAACTACTGGAACTGATGTTTTCAGATCCAGCCTGAGATTTGCAGGAACATGCAATTGCAAGGACAATGAAGCGTGGCAGAGACATGTCAACAATTGAAACACCTAAATTTGCTTTGCTTGTGAAGCAGGATTCAATACACTTGAGCCCAATACTTGAGGCCCAGGGGGGTGGACGAAAGCTATGCAATGGGGCAATGGTTTTTCACTGGGTTGAAGAAGCGGGATGACTGTGGAAAATGATAGCACATGAAGGATTAAATGATGAGAGATGATACAATATGATATGATGCAGTGGGATGGGATGCGATTGAAGAGATGTGATGACACGAGACCAAGAGATATGATGGGATACGATGACATGAGATACATTGAGAATCATTGAGATGAGATATGATGAGACATAATGAGACATGATGAGACTTGGTGATACATGATGAGACTTGGTGAGAAATAATGAGAATCATGATGAGACATGATGAGACATGATGAGACATGATGAGACATGGTGATACATGATGAGACATGATGATACATGATGAGACATGATGAGACATGGTGATAAATGATGAGACATGATCGGATGAGATGCCTCGAGATGAGATGCCTCGAGATAAGATGCCTCGAGATAAGATGCCTCGAGATGAGATAAGACGAGATGAGATGAGACATGATGAGACACGATGGGGGTTTAAGTCAAATTTCACGCAAATGGATGCTGACCTACCCCCAGACCCTTAAAGCTACTTTGCTAAAGCAAACCCAACTCCAGCTAGCTACCGCTAGCTTTCGTGATAGGCGAAGTCTTCTTGACTTCTTGCGGTATTTTTGGTATACAGCTTTTCCTCCGTGAATCTTTCGCCTAGTTTCAGCTTCTCGATAATTTGTTTCAGTCAGGGCCCGGGTCAGCAGAACGGCCTTCTCTTCGATTGCTTCGTCGTCCCACAGGCCATCCAGAATCATCTGCTGGTACGGATCGTACGCCTACAGCTTCGGCTTGGATTCATCCTCTTTTTGACATCTTTCTTTGTTTCAGGCTCAGGATGCAAAACAAGATTGCTACCGCACTTGCAAAAGCGGTACTGAAACCCAGAAATCGTGCTATCCACGAGAATGGAGTGCGCTCTCCTGAAGCCTGATCCTTGTTTCCCCAACCCTCTAAATCTGCATCAGGAACTACCCAGGACCAGTAGATTATCCCAAACCGAACCGCTGTCCTGGGTATTTAAGGCTCCCGGCCGTTCGGCTCAGGTTGTGGTAACCTTCTACGACAAAGGACCAGGGTTCCGGCCTTGGGCAAAACATCAGCAGCGCTGGTAGCTGCTCCAAGGGCAGCCAAGGGACGTCTGCTTCGGCATGTAAAGTTCCAAAATGGGCCGCCCGTTCTTCTGCCTCAGGAGCCAAAGCGGTCCAGGATCGGGTCGAGCTGTAAGCTGTGAATCCTTCAGATGTTGATTAGCTATGAAAAGCATCACTGCAGCGCAGAATACAATGAGTCAATGAGTTCATGATTGAATTACTCATGGTACCCAAAGCATCCCAAAGCTATGCCATGTTCCTGGCTGCACAAATGTCGTGCATTACTCTGCTGCCCAGGTGCTCAACGTTCCACCTGACAGTGTGTTGGTTCTGATTTGATGCTTGGGCATGCTTGGGCTGTACAAATGCGTTGGCCATCTTGCAAAGCAATAGGGGCCAGATAATGCCAAATATGGCCAAATGGTGCTCAGGCTCAAGGTATCATCAGTCAATCAACCTCTCCATCCCATCAAATATATTCAAATACCACGAACTTCATGGGCGACAATCCCAGCGGACCCCGACGTTGTAGCCATGGCATGCAGCAAACACACTTGATCAACGCTTGACAGAGTGCTCGTGTATACCATTGATATCCATTGATTACTATTGTGTATCCACCTGCGCGCAGTTTTAGTCATTAAATCCATTGACCACCGGCCCGAAATCGCAGCTCTGGCACCCGTCGCACCTGCAACCCCTTCGCCAAACGCAGCCGCCCAACTTCCCTTGCCTTGCTAGACTTCAGAGAAGACATAGGCAACATTCAGAAAATGTGTGAAACGCAGTGTCGGTTCGTGGGACCAGCAGCTACAACCAGATTCCAGGTGAATTCTAGGTGATTAAACAAAATATGTAGACAGTCTAGACATGAAGACCGAACCTTTGGGGATGCCAAACTTAGTCCCTTGACAGCTGGTGAGGCTGTGACAGAATCGGAGAGTCTGGGTCGCTCTTCAACCAGAACTTCACCTGCCAGCTTTCTCCAATGAGCCCATGAAACGTTGACGTTTCTGACCCTATCTCCATCCCACCTGCTGTCCGCCAAACGGCACATCGAGCGCAAAGGCATCAGACACTTGATCCCCTTGATCTCTCCTTGGTGGCTTCGGTTGAATGAAACTCTTGGACTTTTGAGCCATTAAAGTATATATATATACCATTATATACCCATATTTACTGGTTAATATAGGGTGGTTATATTATAACTGGTTTACTGAGTTTACTGGGCCGGATTCTCACCTAGAATGATAACCAACAATGTTTGCACAACTGGAATCCAACTGCGAAAGATCAAAGCTCATCTGAGAGCGGCACTGAAACTCTCGCCATTTGGAAGGCTCTAGTGGCACTTGCACCAACATGGACCTGTGTGGTTTCGTGGGGGTCTGGCCGGCCTTGAAGAGCTATGTAGAATCTTCCGGATAGGATGAACACGATGAGTACAAGTCAAGCTTACTCGTTCTCACCACAGCGTTTGGACGTAACTGCAAAGCACCCCCCTTGGGATCGTACAGAGTTGACTCCTCCATGCCAAAACGCAAGTCACAAAGGTCGTGCCTTGAGTTAGAACGGAGTTAAAAAAAAATGAGTCCGCAGAACGCCAAACAGAATGCAAGAGAGATGCAACAGACCAAGAGATTACTTTGGAATATTCAGTCTAAGACTCCCGGCATCTTCCACGTCTTTTTCTCCGTCTCTGGAGCATCCTTCCAACGGTCTAAGCTGGTAGGAAAACACACTCGATCACTGTCGATCACTGGAAAAGTCCGAGTACCTCCAACATCTCCAGCTCCTCAATGAGAACTTCATCCAGATCCTGCGAATCTAGACACCCATGATGCATGACAACACACAGAAGAACTTCACTGTCAAGCCATGTGCAACAGCCCAAAAGATGTTGGTTCTGTTCTGCCGTTGAATGTTATCACAGTTATCACAACTTTAAGAATTCGCTGTTGAGTTGTTGTGTCCCTTGCCCATGCTCACCTCTTCCTGCTCGTATTTCGGTTTGGTCTGCGGATCGCAGTACGTGGACGGCCTGGGTATACTGGGTATATCTGGATGACCCCTTTCTTAATAATCTTATTGACAGGAAAGAACCTTTGCGTGTCTTCTGAAGGTGCAGCCGGAAGTATCGAATTCTGAAACGTGTGACTTGACACATCTGTTTGTGGGACTTTGCGTTGAAAACCTAGACACAGCACGTAAACATGATGTTATACAAGCAGGTGATGCCTCTCATTGCAGTGGGTTCCGGAAAAAAATAATCATCGGAATGTTGTCGCTATGTTACCACAATGTTGTCCAAGGCTATTCATAGAGTCGTCCGCACCATAAAGCAGCCCAAGCTAAGGCCCATGCGTAAATTTGCCGCTTTTGTCCATGATCATGGGCGTTTTCTGCATGTCCTCGGGCTACACAGCTGGGCACTATAATATGCAGAATCCTGCAGACTTGTACCTGGATATCTTCACAAGACATGTACATGGCATGTACTATGAAAACATTGGACTACGGATTTAACACATTTTATCGATAAACCTGCGAAGAAGACTCAAGTGCATGCCATCTTTTCCAGACGCACCACAAAATACGTTCAATGATGAATGTTGATGAATCATATATTCGAAGTGTTGTCATTTGAAAAGACGGCCGTCAGAAGCTCTTGCAGGCCTTGTCCCACTTCATGCTGGGACGATTCGCTTCCCTCTCATCTCTCATCAAGCGATTCCACAACCTCAGAAATGATCAGCGACCAACGAACAGACCTCGAATCTCATTGTCTGTCTTTAAATGTTCACCCGCTCACCTCGCTCAATCCGGTTTTTCCTGGTTTTCTGTGATCAAATGTCGCAAAATGTACATGATGGACTGGGATGGACTGGGCATGTATATAAATGATGATAAATGTCAAGAAAACCGGTTGAGGGAATCACTGAAAGGAATCTCAACTATTCCCAACTTCACAACTGCACTGGGGTCCATGACTTCCCAGGCGTTTTCTTCACGAGTTCCAAGGAGATCAGCCAGTACCTGCCTCCATGCCTCAGCTCCAGGATGAAAAAATGAGGCAAAGATGGATGCTTCATACATCACAACATATCACAACGTGCTGAAAATCCATATGAATCTAATATCTGACAATGAATCAAGGTATGATGAATCAAGGTATAATGAATCGTGTACATTGTCTAATAGTTCTATATTCTATGTAATACAAGCAGAGAGAAGGAAAAGAAACGTGGATCCAAGGAGCCATTTTGGGCGATACATAAATTGACTCAATTCCGGAGCCATGAGCCAAGCAGCTTCGTCATGGTCCAGTAGCACTTCTCTTTGTTGAGTTGTTGCAGTGTCGGCCTCAGCATGGCGTCAGCATGGGGATGGCTGGTCTCCAGGTGTCATGGCAGTCATGGCCGGCTTCCTCTGGGTATCTCTGGGTTGCCCGGGCCCATGTAATCCTCGGATCATGTGCCAGGCTGAACTGCCTCCACCTGAGATCATCCCATGGGATCTCTGTTGATCTCTGTTGATCTCTGTTGATCTCTGTTCCGAAACCAAAGTGGATGTGGAAACATGTGGAAACATGTGGAAACATGTGGAAACATGTGGAAACTCGGAAACTCCGCGTGTTTTGAGAAAAGTGGGACTCAATGAATCTCAATGACACTCCGACACTCCTGATCTCTGAGGCACACGCGTTTGCAGACCTGGACCGACCAAGGTGGCCGGCAAGTTTTTGCAAAGGTGGAAATGATGTGGAAATGATCCCAGCTTGTTGAAGGCAGTTTAGCTGGGGAAAATGATGGGCGTTTTCCTCAACTTTCAAGTTCAACTTCGACCTGAGGATGAAGACTAAACTGACTAAACGTGGCAACTACCAGCCAGCTGCCCATTCTGTTGAGCTGTGCATCATGGATTTGACATCCTGATCTCTGGACGGTTTAGCTCCAAAAATCCCACCGAGAAACCACCGAGAAACACCATGGTAAAATACCGCGATAGCAACCAAACTTCGCAACTGCGTCAGTAAATACCTGACCCATGTCTTACAAGTCTTATCATGTGAATGGCCCAAAGGCCTCGATGCTTCTCTCTGTGAACTTGATCATCAAGTCATTTGGCGTCAAGTCCTCCACACCTGCCATGTCCCGTTCGGCACAGTGCTGAGTGAAATGGACAAAATGAGCCCATCGTTCCAATGAATTTCCCCCCACAGTTGGTTAGTTTAATAATCCCCAATTTTGTGGTCTGATCACTATGTTTCAATGTTTAAGTAAGTTTATCTCTGTGTGTTTGAAACACCAGAAAACTGCTCCACAGCAGCGCACCCTTACGACTGTCCCATTCGCTGGTGATCTTGTGGATCTGACGCGTCCCACCACCTCATGGGCAGAGACGGATTCCATGAGGCCATAAGAAGACCATAAGAAGACCATAGAAGACCTATGATATCCATTGATATCCTATGATCATGGCTGCATGATGGCAGCCGACCTCCTTCATAAGGAGGTCTCAATTGGATGGCGACACAATAGCTGTCAGCTGTTTGGTAGGAGTAGATGTGGCTGAACTCCTGGGGATCAAGCAGTGCATGATTCGGTCGGAGGGTGCGATGTAGTCTTGTCACCAATTTCAATTGTCCAGGCAATGCAGCCCTTGTTTGTTCACCAATTCACCAACTAAAATGTTTAAACTTCAAACACACAACCAGCCGAACAAACCACAAGCATGGGATGGTACAGTCTGATGTCAGGGAACCCGGTCCCGTGGAGGCCCAAGTACGCCATGTGTCTCCATGGCAGCCCGTTGGACTGTGACGCAGCAGGGATTGTGTTTTTTCTTAAGGAAGAACTCAGCTACGTTCGTGGGCTATGTGAAGCAGAACAAAACGGGCATGCCTCAAATTCCTAGTTTGTTGATCACAGGCCGAAAGCGGTTCCAAAAACGTCCAGAAATATATTCATATAATTTCATATTTACATATATATATATATATAATTATATATATACACATATATACAGTGTAAATATGTTCATGTAAAGGGTGCCTGTAATACGAACCTGTTTGACTGTGCACTTCAAACTTGCTGACGTACAATCTGGAGGGTCACTGTCTTTGTGCTTGTAAGTCATGTCTCAGTTAAGATAAAAGCTTGGACCAAAGGTATCAGGGCAAGTGTTGATAAGGATTGATAAGGATGATCTGCAAACTTTGTCTTGCACCAGTGTCGCATTCTAAGTGCTTTGCTACTTGCAGAGCATGCTGACACTGGACAGAGAGCAGTTTAAAATTGTCCAGCGCCTCCACAGTCTCTGAAGCTTCTCACACGTCCCACTGAAGGTGACCAAAAGCTCTGCTTTGATCAAAGGTATTGCTACAAGTCGTGCACAACCAACTTACCAACCTAATTTGATTAACATTGTAACTGCTTATGTAGAGTTGACATCAACAAACCTGAGTAACCCAAGGGGTTTTCAAACACAATTACCTGGTCAGCGAATGACCGTTCTTTTTCGACCAAGGTCCATCTAGCCGTTGGCTTCAGCTAAGTCTCGATTCCATGTTGGAAATCCCTGGAAATCCCATGCGCCTCCCAGGGTTCCGCCTTTCAACTCCAAATCTATGGTGGCCATTGGCACAGCGTCGTCCGGTGCTGGTGCGGATCATCGGGGAAGCTGGTGACTTCGAGATGTCGTCTGCCACGATACTTCGTCGCTGGGCGGAGCTCGGGAAGTCCCCTTCAGTCGGAGTGGACTTGGAGTGGTGGGTCAATGTTCCTTCTTGTCGTCGCCTCTGAGCTGCAATGGACTGGCAATGAGCACACATGGCAACACACCAAGGTAGCAACAAGTGTCAGGGTGACTGTATGTTCAGAGGCACAGCATCATGAAATTCCATGAGATATTTAGAAGTATTTGTATATGTATATGTTTTAATAATCATAATAATAGTAGTAGTACTACTACTAACATCTACTAACTACTATTACTATTATTGTATATTATTCATCATTCTTTGATCTACAAAATAGTTTTAGAATGTTTAAGACTCCGGTTCAACAAAGACCCCACCTGTGGCGGCCTCAGGCTCTGCGAGATCCCCACGAAGCAAGGCAACAAGCCTTGCTAAGCTTGAAGACTTGGAACCACAGTCGGTTGATTCGGCTGATGGATGTTGAAAATAATCATGGTAAATCATGGTACATCAATGGTTATCAACGGTAAATCAATGATGATATCATGGTAAATCATTGTAAATTGCCCAGCCACAATGATATCAATTATATCAATGACGTCAATGATATCAATGTCGATTAACTATGAATAAATAACGGTGAAGCTCAGCCCTTGAAAAGGGTCGTATTATCATGTCATATCATGTCGTATTTCAACTCGTATTGCAGCTTGCTCCAGGGAGCTTGAAAGACCGTTGCAGCAAAGATTCCCACATGGAGCCACACCCCAGGATTGGACTAGTTTCAAGCAAGTGACAGGAAGATCACGGCGAAATCGATGTAGAGGTCCGACAAGTTCCAAAAAAAGGAGGTGTTCACGATTCCCTTCAGCTGTAGTAAGAAGTAGTCAATGACCTTGCAGCGAAGATAATCCCACAAGGGCACCCCCAGTAGATACGAGCACGCAGATAGATCCAGACAAAATGCCAAACCGACTTCAAGTGTCAGCACCTAGACCTACACACCAATCTCTTGGTAGGTCATTGCAAAACAACCCATTTCATAAAAGTTGGAACGTGAAACTCATGAAAATCACATGAAAATCACACGAGAAACACATGAATTCTCCAATTCGCCGAGCCGCTCCACCGACATAAAAGCGGTCCACTAGATTGCCCACGGCACCCGAGACGAGAAAGACAGCGCCCAGCTGTCCAGCCCTAGCCATCACCAAAATTGAAACTGAACGTCCCACTAAAATTGCAAAAATGCGGTTAAATTATGTTAAATTTAGATGAAACATGATGAAACTTATGTAAATATGTGACCTTTGCTGCATCGTGTATCATCGTGTCATGTTCAACCAGTTCAACCCATCCAAAACATCGTAGTCATAGTTAGTCACTTCACATTGATCATCCCAGGTGAATTAAGGTCAATTCGCGTAGAGTTCCCCACCTAGTGCGAGACTTCTGCATCTGCCAAACGAAGAACCCCGCCGCCAAGACGCCACAGAAGATCATGAATTTGCTTCCCCAAAAACCTCAGGCCATGTCAAGCCAGACACCTTCGAAAAGGGCACGCCTTTTGCAAGTTGCCTGTGCAGTGCCATGCTGTTGAAATGACCCACGCCACCTCTTTAGGATCCCGAAGACCCCAAAACCATTGGTGCCAAGTCTCCCAGGGCGGCTTGCACACGAGGCATCCAGTAACCCATGGCAGAACCTTCATTCAAGTGGAAGGCCCAGTGCAGCCTGGCGTCTGGTGGCACCTTGATTGGGGATGATTGTGGATGATTGGATGATTTACTATTGGCTTTACCTCTTGAGCTGTAATGCTACTCCAAGCCGCTCGACCACAGTGCAATACAAGTTGTGGCTAACACTTCATCCAGTGTATACCAGTAGGTGCACTGTAGTATCGACCACTAGTGGCTGGCAAAATCACCAAAGATTGTGGCATCCCATCTGCGTGGCCCCGCATGCTATGCGGCTATGCGTCTTGCCCGACAATGCGACCCTATGCGTTGGACATCAACGAGGCCTGAGACTTTGGGAATACAAATTGATGTCCAGCAAGCGGCCGGTTGTAGACTGCCTCGTTTTGTAGAAGACCGTCATAAAGTAATAAAGTACCAAAAGACATGTCAACGGAGGAACTCTGCAAAAACGGTTGTCCGCCAAAATTATGGACCCAAAATGACCAAAGTTGGTTGTTCTTTGCAGGCCAGAGGCTGATAGGCTTGCATCTTCAGCACTGCCTTCACTTGAGTTCTGCAGGCCCTATCTAATGACAGAGTATAAGAATTCACAAATCCGATCCAAAACATCTCTTACAGACAGAAAGACAATGAAAGACAATGAAAGATACCCTCTGGTAATTTAACATAGCTATTGAAAATGGCCATTTATAGTGAGTTTTCCCATTAAAAATGATGATTTTCCATAGCTATGTTAGTTTACCAGAGGGTAGATAGCATCAGATAGCGACTTTGCCATGGAAGGCAGATGCACCGATGGCACCTCCGGTATCAACAGCAAGGGTACTAGCAGCCATTGCCACATGGTGATCCCCAGGAAACCCTGATCCCCGGAATGTTATGTGATCAATGACGGGCGCATGGTGCGCTTGGGTTTAGTAGAGGGAATGCTAGGTCCTTACTTTATCATACTTTATCTGCTGGCTATCTTGGACTCTGGATGCTATGTCCATAGCTCAGCTGCAAGTCTGTGACTGTCCGATTGAACCAAATCAAGATATTTTTCAAAAGCTGCCTCCCTGAGTTGTGCCAAGCATCTTGCTCCGGTGCTTGCCACTGTATTCTGATTAAAACATATCACATGCACTTATTGCACTTGCAATTTTGTTTAATCCTTAACGCATTCCAACCATTTCCAACCTGGATCAACCTGGATCAACCTGGACAGACCTACCTCTTTCTCTGAGAGGTTTCTACAGCACAGCCGGCACAGCCATGATCCTTTCTCCGCTGCTCCGCTTGCGGCTCCGCTTGCGACCGCTTGCGATCTTTCACAGCGCCCTCAACGTTTGCCCGAGCTCAGTACTCTGCAAAGTTGGTATGGCCACTTGCCTCCGATGGAACGACCCCTTTGACACTGTCTTTTAAGGGACGTGTTTCACAATTTTGATATCATTTATATGGCAGCTGGTAAATGGATGTTCATTCCCCTAAAAATGGTATGTATAGGTATTGATCCATACCCATATAATGTTGCATAATGTTGGATCATGTTGTACTTTGGCGACAGAAGGACTCTATACCTGCGCTGCCCTTGTGAGTCACACTGTTTGCAGTTCATTGAAGTACAACTTGGCAGATGGCACTCAGAGTAAAGAATCAAACACCCTGGTCCCCACCCCCAATACGAACTGGGGTGGCCTTGGCGTGTTCCACAGCATCGCTTTGGCCTTTCAAACCTTTTTGGCACACCAGGCAACGAAGGGTAAAGTTGGCTACATCAGTGAAGTTGCCTCAGAAAACACCAGGATTCAGAGGAGTGAATTTTGGACATGGCCGAAAAAACCAAACAATTACAGGCATTACAGGTCTGGTAATTTGAGGTCCAACACTTTGACAGAGAAAGCTTGGAAACTCACAAATTGGCGGCTATGAATTCTGAGTGCCTGAACCCTGTCTTGGACACGAAAAGGGATTTGCTGCCATGCTCCAAAGCACGCTGCAAGGACTCCCTGCCCCAGCCCAGCTGTAAAGCCGAGATGCGAGCGGTTTGAGCTTCCTTGGCAACTTCTTTGGCCTGCTCAACCATCGCTACATCACTGGTCTCAAAGAGTTTCTTCTCTCCTGGCCAAACAAATACTTGACAGCTGATCTTCCGTCTAATCCTGCCAATCGTACCTAATCTTCGTCCTTGGGTTCACCAAAAGTGCTGGGTCCATGTCCAAGCGGGTCAATTTCTGCAACCCTGTCCTGAGCCACCTCGTCTCACCAAGACATCATAGTGAATGCCATCGTAGATCACAAAGGCGCGCTTGGAGAAACCTGCCGCACACCCTCTAAACTATTTATATAACGACCATGACTTCGAGATTAATTTGGCTGATGGTCAAAGTCAAAGTATTTCCCACTTACAAAATGTCCGGAAAGCGGCTCTTTCCAGAAGCCTAAGCAATAGGAGGACCGTCCCGGGTTGCTAATTCATGCCGTTGCATACTGAAACACCTCAGCTTTGCCTGGCCTTGACCTTCCCCAAAGAAACTGACTCGCAAGGTCTGGATGTCCACAGCAGCAATTTCCTCAAAGAGTAGCGTGATTCTTAAATCTTTGTCCATGTCCAGTCTTACCTTGACAGGATGTGTATTCTTTTTTGCGTGGACTCACAACCGTTTCCTGTCGAATCAACAGCTGGCTCTGCACTTCATAGCCCACCATACGAGGAGAAACAACAAGTGCTTGCCATCCAATTGACGAAAATATACAAAAGCCATCAAAAGAACAACCATGCATAGTTCATCACTAGTCATAAGAAACTACCCAGAATCCATGGTAGAATATCATGAGATGAAACATTCAGAATAGAGTTACCATAAATTCATTGTGTGATGTGTTTTGTCATGTTTAAGAAAGATGATCATAAATAGTCTATCATCATCTACAATAATCTATCAGCAATCTATCAGCAATCTATCCATAGTTCATATGGTTCCCATATCAAAAACATTCAAAAACCCTCAAAAACCCTCCAAAAACCTTCAAAAACCCCAGGCTCCGTGGAATAGTGGGCTGCGAGGATGGCCAATTCTATGCCACCACCCCAGCGCTCAGGATCCTGGATCCTCAGCAACAAACAACCGGCGTCGGCCATCTGGTTATGACTAACGGTTCGCCATGGAAAGATCCACCATGCTATTAATAGGTAGACCATCTATAAATGGGATGGAAAATCACTATTTCTATGGGCCATCTATACCATGGCGAACTGTTAGTCATAACCAGAGGGTAAATATGTTCGAATTGTTTTTTTTTAAGGAGTTTACATAACAAAATAAGATCTTGGAACTGATTTCACTGATTTCTGTAGTCAGCTATGAATCTATGAACTTTAAACTTTAGCACCTCCGAGATTGGACGGTTTACTGCTTAAAGTGACCGAACGCTGCAGTCCGAAAGCAGTCCTCTGGATCATTCTGGATCTGAATCTTCACACGCACCCAATGATTACTGCAGTTGCTGCTTGTTTTGGAGGGTCAATGCGGCACCCAAAGCCTAAGAAAGGCACGTCCGAGCGTCCAATCCGCGTACTCATCTGGCGGTTTCCCCAGCATTGCCTCGGTCCACCTGGGGATTCAGAGCTACCATCTGGTTATGACTAACATAGCCATGGAAAATGGCCCATTTATAGATGGTTTACCTATTTAAAATGGTGATCAGATGGTAAATCATCCCCAAAATTTCAAAACCTTGGTCCTTAGCCGCCTTAGCCGCCTTAGCCCACAGCCCAGCCCGGATCTCCACGGCTCCCGACGTGTCAGGGTCAGAGAGCACCACGGCTGCCACGGTTTCGCGCAGCTCCGATGCTTTGTCGTCGCCACGATCTGCAGGGATGGATATGGATGGATAGGATATGTGCCATTGCACATGAACCCATCGAACCCATCCCAGGGGACTAAAATAGGGAGTTGCAATGCATAAACCCTGTCCCGTCTGGATTCTAAGACATTCCAAACATGTCCAAACAGTGTACGAAAAGTCATGAAAGGGGCGTCTTTATCAAGACCCAAGCATGTTTCTCGAATATGAGTACGAGTAAGTCTGTGTACTTTGAAAATGATCTCAAATCCTGCTTCATCCTGTCCCTGATTCCGTTCGCACCATCCATGGCATATGCCACAGAGTTGAAAAGGCAGGAGTTGTCCGCCGGAATCTGAAGGCGCACCGCTTTGTCAGGTACTCCTCACCACACAGGAAAGGGACTCTTTGGAATTCATGGGAACCCTGGTGGACATAGCAGCAAACGCAATGCAAAGCCTAGCCGCCTGTTGGTGGAAAAACACTGACGCTAACCACACTTCCATCCACTACACAGTATCCGTCATCTTGTCCACCACCTCCCTACCTTGCCCCAAGGACAATGCCAGGGCTGCTGCTAAGTCATCGTCTGCCATGATTCAGCGTGGCAGCGCCAGCACCCTTCACATCGTGACGTGTAATGCTGTCGTGGCACAGTCTTTGACAATGTAGCAGGAATACGGTCTGTGAATCCAATGATTGAAACTGCTGTCAGTCCTTGCTGACATTTTGAGTGTCTTTTTTAATGTCCTTTTCATCCATAGTGCAACCCCGTACGTTTGCTTGCATGCAACTGCTGCATTGTACAACGTCACGCGTCCAGTTTCAAGCGCTCTGCCCTTGGCCGTTTGGCTAAAAGCTACAGCCAATCAAGCTGTTCCAGGCAGTGACAAAATGCCTTTCTGATAACTCGATCTGTAAGGCCAAACCTTCAGAGACACTGTAAGAGGGGCTTCAATCCCTGCCTGTATTTAAAGTCAGCAATTTCAAGAGACTCTGCATTGTATCTGTGTCAACATTATTGTCTTGTTGCTTTCAAAATTGAGATAAAATTACAGTAGTATATGATACCTTTGCAGATTGGATGAGCAAGTTGCGCTAGAATTCTACCAGCCAACCTCAACCTGCATAATTCTGCATTGAAAAACACAGCGGAGTCAACGGAGGACTGCATGAATGATCTGAATGCTTGTCTTTCAAAGCTTTGCATTGCTCCCCATTGATGGATCAGCAGCCTTTGTCTCGCCACAGGTTTTGCGCGTGGGGTTGCTCCAACTGTTTAAAACTAGTGCCGCACTTTGGCAGCTCCACAACGGTGCAAAGGTGGCGATGCCAATGTTCAAAATAGTTCATACTTCCGTTTGCTTACCTTTAATTCATTTTAATTCCAAAGTAATTATTACTTGCATGGTTCAAGCCGTTCAAGCAGCATCGAATTTGCAAGCCCCAGCCTTCTTGGAATTCTACAGGTAACAAGCGTCATCACCACTTGCAGAGGGCTTAAGTGAACAAATCACGTCCGAAGGTCGTCTCATCCCGCTGCCGCGAACAAATGCGACCATCTCTGCGGACACGGACCCATTCCTTGTCAGCGTGGGCTGAGGCAACTCCCTTCCATATCTTCCATGAGCGCAACATGGTAGCGATCCACATCGATCATCGATCAACTCGAGCACAAGCTATCCACATCTCAAGAAACCTGAAGAAATCTGATACCAAATTGAGCTACATTACACTTGAAGTCTGGCAATCTCAGAATCTAGATAGAAGCCAGTAGATAATCCACTGAAGCCAATAGATCCAATAGTCATCAATAGTCACTCAGTGACTCAGTATTTGAACAAGGAGCTCCGCGGCACGTTGTCGTGTACTTGTTCTTAAAAGTATGTGGAGGTTTCTCCTGATGCGCAGGATGCTGCCACCCAGTTTCTCTCTGGTTGTGGTTCAGCGGAATGTTCAGCGGCATGTTTAAGATGCCGATTTTTGGGGTTTCCATAAATGAAGGTACCCCAAATGGATGATTTACATTGGAAACTCATATTAAAATGGATGATTTACATTGGAAACTCATATTAAAATGGATGATTTACATTGGAAACTCATATTAAAATGGATGATTTACATTGGAAACTCATATTAAAATGGATGATTTGCCTATCAGTGTCCAATAATATCCGATATGATATGACCAAAAAACGCATCCCAGAAATATGCTGCCCAGAGGCCAAGAGTCTCACCTTCACGGGCACACGTTTGTCGATGAGCCCGTAGTGTTCGCACAACATATACCTTGCAGATGGACCCTGGAAACGAACGTGGGACAACGTAGGCGCATGTAGATCATGTGTAGATCATGACTGCAGGTTGGATGATCTACAATGATCTACATTCAGTGCGAAAACTACAAGACCACCATTCAAGTATCATCACTGCAATCAAATCTTGACCCTTGCCCAAGGTCCCCAAGTCTAGCCTTTGCCTTGCGTCAGTTCCCATGATTATGCAGAATTGCAAGGGTACTTAAAACATGTTGAATCCCACTTGGCAGGGCACAAGCAGAGTCGCCGATTGCTGAGCGAATGCAAACGGTCTTGAAAGAAGACCACCTGTCGCCAAATGCAACGCTCATCATTCGTCTTAAAACACCTGGTTCATTTCAAGATGTTCAAGGGTCACTATGGCATTGACTGTTGACAATTCTTGTTCCTCAAATCCCCATATGTGTTAATTTGCTGAATTTCAAACATGCCCAAATTATGTAAAAGGGACGGGGGTCACATTCGCCCCTAAAAGAGGGTCACATTCGCCCCTAAACCAAACGGGGTCACATTCGCCCCTAAACAACAATAATTTAAATATGTTACTCAACCCTTTAGGGTTTAACCTGGGGACAAGGGGACATTTAGGGGGACTGGGGTTTAGGGGGGGACATGGGGGCATATGTTGACTTGTCTCTCTATTCCATATGTTACTCAACCCTTTAGGGCTTAACCTGGGGACAGGAGCATTTAGGGGGGACTGGGGTTTATGGGGGGACATGGGGGCATATGTTGACTTGTCTCTCTCTATTCCATATGTTACTCACCCTTTAGGGTTTAACCTGGGGACAAGGGGACAGGGGACTGGGTTTAGGGGGGGCCTGGGGGCATATGTTGACTTGTCTCTCTATTCCATATGTTACTCAACCCTTTAGGGTTTAACCTGGGGACAAGGGGACATTTAGGGGGACTCGGGTTTAAGGGGGGGACATGGGGGCATATGTTGACTTGTCTCTCTATTCCATATGTTACTCAACCCTTTAGGGTTTAACCTGGGGACAAGGGGACATTTAGGGGGACTGGGGTTTAGGGGGGGACACGGGGGCATATGTTGACTTGTCTCTCTATTCCATATGTTACTCAACCCTTTAGGGTTTAACCTGGGGACAAGGGGACATTTAGGGGGACTGGGTTTAGGGGGGGACATGGGGGCATATGTTGACTTGTCTCTCTATTCCATATGTTACTCAACCCTTTAGGGTTTAACCTGGGGACAAGGGGGCATTTAGGGGGACTGGGGTTTAGGGGGGGACATGGGGGCATATGTTGACTTGTCTCTCTATTCCGTTTAGGGGGGACATGGGGGCATATGTTGACTTGTCCCTCTATTCCATGTTACTGTCTCCCCTTTAGGGTTTACCTGGGGACAAGGGGACATTTAGGGGACTGGGGTTTAGGGGGGGACATGGGGGCATTGTTGACTTGTCTCTCTATTCCATATGTTACTCAACCCTTTAGGGTTTAACCTGGGGACAAGGGGACATTTAGGGGGACTGGGGTTTAGGGGGGGACATGGGGGCATATGTTGACTTGTCTCTCTATTCCATATGTTACTCAACCCTTTAGGGTTTAACCTGGGGACAAGGGGACATTTAGGGGGACTGGGGTTTAGGGGGGGACATGGGGGCATATGTTGACTTGTCTCTCTATTCCATATGTTACTCAACCCTTTAGGGTTTAACCTGGGGACAAGGGGACATTTAGGGGGACTGGGGTTTAGGGGGGGACATGGGGGCATATGTTGACTTGTCTCTCTATTCCATATGTTACTCAACCCTTTAGGGTTTAACCTGGGGACAAGGGGACATTTAGGGGGACTGGGGTTTAGGGGGGGACATGGGGGCATATGTTGACTTGTCTCTCTATTCCGTTTAGGGGGGCATGGGGGCATATGTTGACTTGTCTCTCTATTCCATATGTTACTCAACCCTTTAGGGTTTAACCTGGGGACAAGGGGACATTTAGGGGGACTGGGGTTTAGGGGGGGACATGGGGGCATATGTTGACTTGTCTCTCTATTCCATATGTTACTCAACCCTTTAGGGTTTAACCTGGGGACAAGGGGACATTTGGGGGGACTGGGGTTTAGGGGGGGACATGGGGGCATATGTTGACTTGTCTCTCTATTCCATATGTTACTCAACCCTTGTCGAACTGGATGGTACAACGTAGCAGCCATAGTGTCCTAGAAGTTGCTTGAAATGGCTCTTGGAAGGTAACATCCAAAGCGTATTCGAAGTTGCTCGAAATGGATGTTACAACGTAGGAATGGTACACCGTAGCATCCATATTGTCCTGGAATTTGATTGAAATGGCTGTTGGAACGTAGCATCCGAGGCGTCTTCCAAGTTGCTCGAAATGGATCTTACAACGCACCATCCATAGTGTCCTAGAAGTTGATTGAAATGGCTCTTGGAAGGTAACATCCAAAGCGTCTTCGAAGTTGCTCGAGATGGATGTTACACCGTAGCAATGGTACACCGTAGCATCCAGAGTGTCCTGGAAGTTGATTCAAATGGCTGTTGGCACGTAGCATCTCCTGGAAGTTGATTCAAATGGCAGTTGGAACGTAGCATCCGAGGCGTCTTCCAAGTTGCTCGAACTGGATGGTACAACGTAGCATCCATAGTGTCCTAAAAGTTGATTGAAATGTCTCTTGGAAGGTAACATCCAAAGCGTCTTCGAAGTTGCTCGAGATGGATGTTACAACGTAGCAATGGTGCACCGTAGCATGCATAGTATGCATAGTGTCCTGGAAGTTGATTGAAATGGCTGTTGGAACGTAGCATCCGAGGCTTCTTCCAAGTTGCTCGAACTGGATCTTACAACGTAGCATCCATAGTGTCCTAGAGGTTGATTGAAATGTCTCTTGGAAGGTAACATCCAAAGCGTCTTGGAAGTTGCTCGAAATGGATGTTACAACGTAGCAATGGAACACCGTAGCATGCATAGTGTCCTGGAAGTTGATTGAAATGGCTGTTGGAACGTAGAAAAACACGTGAATATCACTCTCTGGGGTGGAAAAAATCCTTTTGAGGCTCTGAAACTATTGCGCCTGCCACGCAAAAGCAGGGGTCACATTCGCCCCTAAACGAGGGTCACATTCGCCCCTGAACCCACTTCATCCCCCTTCATTTAGGGGCAAATGCGACCCAAGATGGTTTAGGGGCAAATGCGACCCCCGTGCCTTATCGCTGTTTTGCCTTGTATTGTATTGTGTTTTTGTTCAAATCATGAGCAATGTATTCACTATATTCATTATGTATTCAGAAATTCATATGTATGCATATGCAGTGGGGTAAACTGCATGCTAAATCAAGAGTATGTCACATACCCAAAGAAGAAATCAAAATCAACCAGATTCTAGGTGTGTCTTATGGATTTTTGCGTCACAACGGCCAACATGCTCCGGGCCTCTGATCAATGCAGGCATCAACCCTACCCCTAGCCTCCATCATAGAAACGTCTCGAAGGCTGATATCCCCACTGGCCAAGTCCAGCAAGGTTGTTAGGATAGACCTTCCATGGCACAAATGTGAATTTACGGATCATTCGATCCTCTGTGCAAATCTGGTCAGCAAAACTTCGTGCCTTCCATTCTTGAAATCAGGCGCCACAGTATCATGGCCTGGCCGCTGCCGTCTGAGCCGTCTGATCCGTCTGTCTAAACTGGCCTTTGTTGGAGGGATCGGTGCATTCCGCTTCGCCATGCGAACGGATGTCCCTACAAGAGGACATGAAATGGAGTAAGTTGATGGATTTCAGATCTTCCAACAACGGTCCTTTCAATTGTACCTACGCCTGGTCCTTCCAATTCAACACACCTCAGAAAATCAACACTCTCCGCCAGTTCCGGTCACGTTTGAGGCACCCCACAAAATGCAATGTCGCTGGGAAGTACATGGAGATAGCTTGCTCCTGGGCTGGAAGGTTTTAAATGTTTTTAATGTGTTTAAACACCAGCGAAAGATCACGGACTGCAATGTAGCAGTTGAGTGCAAAACACAGCGGGAGCATCAACAACAAGCCTATGGAAGTGCTGAGATGTGGATACCCAAAAAACGGCCTGAAGAGGCCATATGTTGACCCACAACTGCTACATAACAGACTCCCTGCTTTCCGCAGATTCCCGCATGCCTCTCTTACAAAAGGAAGGCTGGACCCTTCATGCCCCTTCCCCACATTCCGGTGCCGAGACGCCATCAGGACAGACTGGACTTTTCTTTGGTCCATCTGCCTGCAGACTTCAGGCGTGGCCGGACACGGGGACCGGAGGGGACCTCTCTTCTGTTTCTGCTCAAAGCACACAGGATTCTTTTTCAGCTTGCACTACGTATCACTATCGGAAAAAAATCCTACCACAGAAGGTTTCTTCTGGATTTGCCGAAGTGAACTCCGTGAGCAAGCTGGTGATTATTTTGTACCGTGTGGTAGTCTAGAGTAGTCTAGAAACAGCTCCGTTTTGGGTTCACTTCATGGGCTCGTGAACTGACTTTGCCAGTGACGAGCTTGCATTAACACATTGTCCTACCACGACACAAAACTTGCCACATGACAAAAACGCCTCTCCGGCTTGGCTTGTTCATTGTGACAGAAAATTGTGCTGCTTCGGCTTCGGCAAAGCTAGGTTTTGCTGTTGGCTCATGGGTGTCGCAAGGCAGCATGCTGAAAACAGCAGCAACCTGCCATGTGGCTACCCATGTGGATCCATGTGGTGGGTGCAAAGCGCTCTGTCCACAGCACCGCAGCAGCATGCTCAGAAGGACAAATGTCGGAAGCTCAGGAGGATTTGACTGGGTTGAAATGGGGACAACTGGCCCACTCATGTGCCAAGGGAAGCAAGGGTGCCAGGTTCTGCACTTCCTGCTCCATGGAATTGGAGGGAAAATCCACATCCACAAGGTCGCTAAGGTTGGCCCCAGATCTTGCTAGTCTGACTAGTCTTTGCATCTCGGCCATTGCATTGTGGACAGCAGCCCTGAAGCCCATCACGCAAAGCTCTGACTCCTGGAAGCACAAAGTCACAGAGGTTTGGCATGCAATTCGGCTAAGCAGTTTCTGATCGGGTTTGATTGAGAGAAGCTCAGCTGGCACACGCGCTTCGACGCACATCTCCTCCAGATTTCCTATGAGGGCACTGGCCCAAGCAGCAGCATGAGCTGATCCCAACAATCTCACCTGGCTTGCATTTCGCTCCAAGTGGAGCCGACAGCCTGTGAGTTTTTGGATCAAGTTGAGGGCCCCAAAGCCCTTCCTGGTTCTCAGCAGCTCATACCACACTGCAGAAGAAAGCTCCTTGATTGGCCCAGTGCATTCCTCCACCCGCTTCTGAGCCATTTGAACCTTTTCTGCTGGCCCAGATATCTCTAGCACTCCGTAGTCGCCGTAGTCCTTGTTCAGCTTCAGCAAGACTCCAGGAGGACACTTGGCCTCGACGTCGCGAAGCCGGCGACGCCCCCGTGTGTGCTTCAGGGCTCGCAGATCCTGCTCGCTCAAGGGCATCTGCACCGTCAAATTGACCATCTCGTCCATCTCATCCGTGAGCCTCGTGAGCCTCAATCTCCACCGTCAAATTGGCTGATGCTCAGGTGACCCGCAGGATAGGCTCTTCTCAACAGAAGAACTGAAGCCAAGAGGATTCAAACAGAGTCTCTTTAGTGCTGAGTTCACAAACAATGAAGAAAGTGGATGTTTTGACGTTTACGACAATACCGCAGACCATATACATACAAGTAGCTGGACGCTGACAGCATCGTTACAACAAGCATGACAGTGACTTCAAAGCACCACGATACATCACGATACAACGATACAGACGATACAGAATACGTTGCAATGAGTTTTCGACCTTCGACCCCACTGATTCATTATCCCATGGTGCGCCTGCCATCTCCTTCGCTTCCAATCTCGAAGCTGCTCGTCGCCTCGGTGAGTCCAATTAAGAAAGCACGAGTGCAATCCAGTGCAAGTCCAGTATATTAAAGGGGTACATAAATAACAAAAAGTAGAGGATTCAGGTTGATTCGGGTTGATTCAGGTTGTCATCAGAGGCTCCAAGTACCGCCTGCTGCATGCTAAGCGACTATGGGCGAAGCGACAATCTTCACCCCATCTGCACTTCTGCAGCAAATGTGCCTGGTAGCGCACTGACCAAATTCCAAAGTATTCTGCAGGCACGGCGACTCTGCGACAGGCAAACAAGATGTGTAAAATTGTGAAAGTCGTTTCCACTCTGATTCTTCCAGTTCACTGCGACATGGTCCCTGACAGCAGCCATTTCTGCGAGAAAGTCTCTCTGCAGGCGATGATGACATCTTGTCACCCCTGCAAAGACCTTTAGCATATTTACCACACGGTTCATTCTCTTTGGATTGCACGTGCCAGGGTTTCAACTCGTGTCCCCGTTCTCGGAGAGTCATTAACATCATTAACAGCCACCAGAGGCCAGGTGCCTGGTGACTTCCGAGCCGTTCTTCAGCCCAGATCTTAAAGCTCTTGAAACAGCCACAGGGGCCACGGGGGCTTCAAACTTTGAGTATCTTTGGAATCGTGATTTGAGGATATTTGAGGTGTCCCGCGAGCTGGCTCCCAGAAGTTTGCTGTCCGGATCTGTCGCATCTATATCAACTGTTGAATTCCAGCCACTCAGCAGGATCCCCCCAAATGATCCAAATGTGAATCCATCCAACATGTTGAAGGATCTCTTTCGGCGTCAGCATCGTCAGCCACCAGGCATCCGAAGATGATGAGATCTCAGCAAGATGTCAAGGAAGAACTCCTCACAACGATGCTGGGACTGGAGTCTGAGGTGAGCATCATTCAAACATACTAATATTCAAACCTCTTTCTTCAAAATCTTCAAATGCACAAGCCATTTCTTGCTGCCGTTTGCAAATTCCGGCATGCAACATGCGCCAATTGTTTCATCTCAAGATGACACTGGCCTTGGAGATCTTGGGGCCGCCACTGCCTTTGTCTAGAATTGCCAGGAGCAAATCACCTGGAAATCGGTTGGTGTTCTGCCGAAATCCATTGATCATTGATCGAAGATCTGGTCACAGCTCCACAACAGACGTCTCACAAATTGTTGACCACTGAACATGACATGATGTTTTTTCAAGGCTGCGTTGAGGCGAAAGTTCGCACAAGGGAGGTGCTCGGATGTGTTCTTTTCTATGGTATCTTTTTTGAGGTTCCGATCTGACAGTGACAGAGTCATACACGGTCCTATCGCATCATCGACTTTATTTGTGACCAGTCTTTTGATAAGTGTTGTTTCAGCACTCGCCCTGCGCATCAAAACAAACCAAAGCATGTTTCCAATTGCTGCATAATTGGGCTGGAAAGCTTTGGGCATGTCAGGTAAACAACGGACAGGTATCAAAGTGACTTTAGGGAACTTCAAGATGATCCTGCTGTACCGCAGCTCCAAGCAAGTGCGTATAGATGTGCAGTCAGGTCGCGTGCATTGCTGGAATGGAAAACTCCAGGAAAGCAACGTAGATCATCTGCGGAGATAAAGCCTGAAACTGGGATCATTGATCATGGACCGTTGCCAAGGCATCTCCAAAAATCTCCAACGGCTGCAACCAGAACGAGCTACTGGGTTTGAATTGGTTTGGTATGATTTTATGTAGGTTAGTAGATAAGACGCTGACCTTTTAGGCATTCACACAATCTCCAAATCTGACAATAACAAAAGCAAGGCCAGAGTTGTGATCAAGCGATTGCATCGCCTGTTGGTTGGTTGATTGGGTCTGGGCAGTGATGTATGATGCGTGTAGTTCGGTTCTACGAAATATTTATTGGTAATGGACGAATGAATGAATGAATGAATGAATGAACGAATGAACGAACGAACGAATGAACGAACGAAGGAAGGAATGAATGAATGAATGAATGAATTCAATCAATATTCAACAATAGTCTGGCGTTTGTTTTAACAAGGGCCTCGCGCAAACATGTTTCAATGCCTCTCCTGGCATATTTCGGCACAAGAACCTCCTTGTAATGTCAATTTGGCTAGTTGAAACTGACCACCAGGATGTTGTTCCCTTCAGCCAAGAGGCCGTCAGAATCTTGGTCCAAGTGCCGAAAGTTGGCATTCCACTGCTCCCACTTCTCCTACACTTGTCAACTGACAGCACACACTCAGGAATGCCCTTGGAATCAGGCCAAATGGGCCAAACATACGAAAATAGGCTCAACATAGGTCAAAATGGTGCTATGGCCCAACGTATCAAGGGCCCAGCTTGGGCTCAACATAGATGCACCGTTGATGCACCTATCCCACAAGCCACACCACACGCTTCCGGTGCGGGCGTTCGTCAGAGCGAAGCGACCGGAATATTGAATCATGCGCGATGTGCTTTCTACTCAAGCGAAGTGAGAATCAAGTCTTACATACAGTATATAGCATCATATAGCTGAAGGTGTAAGAGAATGCTGCTCAACATCCCATCAATTCATTGATGAATGGTTTTGTCTGAAAATTTTGAGAAACCCCAAATCCAGTGGCTTCTCATTTGTTCCGCAAGTGATTTCACTGGCCATTTTGGGTATCCCCCGATTCTGGACAAGCCCAAATGACTTGAGTGCATGAGTCAAACGCTAACCTCTCCTCTGACACAATTGGCATTGCAGCTGACAGGGAAACGCTTGCTGCCCGGAGCCTCCCGGAAGACGTGTCTGGTGCTCAGAAACCACCAGACAAAGCACAACTATAACTGGTTGGTGGTTTTAACCATCTTGAAAAATATTAGCCAATGGGAGGGATTATCCCATATATTATGGAAAATAAAAAATGTTCCAAACCACCAACCAGATAATCTATAAATATCTATAATAGAGGCTCGGATTGAAGCAAAACAAAGGATTCAAGCAAGGAGCGGTTGACATTCGCAAGTGCAGAATTGAATGACATTGTCCGCAAATTATATACCTCAAAAATAAAAAATAGTATCATTGAGGATTCACGCAAAGTTCATGCATCTCCCCACCCTGCCTTCCAGCAGGGGCAAAGCGTTCTTCTTCCAAGCAAACTCTCTGCTGCTCCTGCCCCCAATCCAACGAACATCCTGGACTTTTGGTACCCAATACCTTTCAAGCTCTCTCTGTCTAGACTCAGATCAAGCTTCTGTCACCAACGTCCAGAATCCACAAGCATAAGCATGGCCTCTTCCATGTAAGCTTGCAGGAGCTGAGACAACCTCAGCAAATTTTGGAGGATATCATCCTCAGCGACTCACTGTGAATCCTTAACGCTACTATATCCTATCCGTTGCTGCATATATCACCATCACATCACCATCTACTCCTTGCAGGACATCATTCTAGGGAGGAGAGATGGCGATTAAGCTAGGAAAAAAAATGTGTTGTCAGATTGCTTCGACTCCTGCAGCATAAAGCATATACAGGTGATACAGGTGACAAATGCACATCAGGTTGCAGCATGTTTGCACTTCCAAGGGCAAGCGGCATCTTTCCCTCTTTGTCTTCAGATGTTTCCATCTTGTAGCCAGGCGGGCACATCATAGCGAAAAACTCATTTTTGTCGATCACCTCAGTTGTGGTTGCAGAACTTTCTGAAGCTGCGAACACAGAATATGCTTATTGTAGCAATTTCTTTGAGATCACAGGGTTTCCAAAGAAATATGCAATATCAAGGTAGAGATTCATTGATCACTCAAATCCTGGACAAAGCAAGGGTTCTGATGGACGTTACACTGACAACTCAGAGACATCTGATAAGTTTGGGATCATCCAGCAATCATCAGGAGTCCCACTTTCCATCTCCATCATCTCATCTCCACGCGGTCAATGGTCAAAAAAACTATTGAGGTCAATGATATTCAGTAATTACAGTAATTCCGTTGAGATCATGAGGTTAGAGATCAGTGACCTTTCTGATTCAAAGCAAAATAACAAGTGGCTCCGTCGCCGGAGGCATCGTATTCGCCGATCAAGGCATCGGTCACCACGTCGTTGCCACCCATGACCCGTTTCAACTCAGCCACCTCCACGAAGCCTGCGGAGTCAGCGTTTCGTGCTGCAGCTCTGTGCTTTTACCACCCATTAGGGTTGGGATTGTTGCAAGATGTTGCAAGGCTTTGCGGCATATGCATTGTGGCAGTAGCAATAGGGGCACATGTCAAGGCTACTGTTCCCAAACAACGGCCGCCAACAATCACTCTGCCTTTCTTCTCCACGTCCAAGCGAGCAAAATCCTGCATTATTTTGTCCTGCAAAGCCCGTAGCTGTGAAGTGCCAAAGACATGTCTACCATGGCGTCGTGCCTTCTATCTTAAATCTGATGCAATACGTCAGTTCTGTACGTAAGGTCAGCTTCACTGAAAGCAGCCACGCAATTGTAACCGCAGAAAGGTTCTTCGTTTGCCTCCCAATTTTTTGGCTGCTGACAAGCTATAGCTCTTGGTAGCTTTGCATCATTTCCTCTCCCCAACAGCCATGGCAATGGCAACGTACCAATCTGATACATAATCTTAACGTCACTTGTCCGGTCCTTTTCCTGCTGAGGTAGCACCGGCATGGTTTTAAACGCCTGGCGGCTGGAGAGGCTAAAACAGAAAGGGAGCCCAGTTTCAACAAGCCAAAATGGTGAGGTGTAACCCGTGCTGGCCTCGACACAGTTGAAGAACAATTTCATGTTCTTGAGGTCAGTTTGAAAGCGCAATTTCCTGGAGTTGCTTAGCAGAAAATCTATGGATCTCTTAAAAAGACTAGATAGCACCCTAAGGCCACATGCACACGTGGCTTGACTTGACTGGTGACTAGTGTAATTTAAAGAGATTGCAGGCTATAATTACACAAATTCTTGCAATGATTTCACCGGAAACAAATGACGCAGAACTACTGGTGGCATCGCTTGTGATGGGTCATCTCACCCTGCAACGCGAGGTTCCTTGCTTGGAGTTCATCGTACTGTTCGCACCACCTCATAGAATGCCGAGCGTCGCATCAAATGAAGCGAACCACACTCGCGTATCGACCAAAAGTACGACCGACGACTCTCTGTGACTATTTGGGGCTAATTTGCAGCTGAAAAATCTAGCCCTGAGTGCCTGATTGTCTCATCTTGTCCCGCCCTATGATGGCATCATGGCACCTCTCGAACATGCGGAGATGCTTCGGCATCGCCCAGGGGTAAAGGAGTCGCAGAAAGCGCACGAACCTGGAGACCGTGATGAAGTACACCCGACCATCAAAAACAATGGGTCCTGTAAGGCAATGGTTAATGGTGGTGAATTATGTTTGATGTTTGATGGCACTGGAGCAAACTCATCAAATGATCATGTCCTCCCTGGGGCTTAGGGGTTGACCGTGATGATCCAAGATGATCAAACGGCACAACCGAGAAATTTCTCAGCAGCCCACGATGGTTTCCGTTGCTTGCTGCGAATCTCCTCTGCCTGAGCACAAGCCTCAGGTACCACAGGCAACAAAAAACGTTGCGAAGGAATTGCGTACTGTAGATGGCCTGGAGCAGCCAATTTGTAGATGCATTTGCCAAATTTGCAAACTGGCGGGTTGCATTTCAAAAATTCCAATTTGGACAAAACATCCAGAGGCATCTGAAAGATTGCCTAGAGGGATAGTTGTGGATCATCCTCTTGCTGTACAACAACATCTTTCTGCATTTCAGTGCTGCATCACCGATTGTCTGTGATGGTTCATTGGCAAAAATGCTGTAGTTGCCAGAAACATCTTGGCCTTTTTTATCGGCAAGAGGAGTCGCCCAGTATCTGTGCCTTCAACCATCTTCAACCCATGAAACTTATCTCTCCAAGACCAAGCGACCGTTTGCAAGCGAACGGCGTATTCCACATCCGTGTGGCGTGCCTGTGACACATTGTGCCGGCAAAGTGAATACTTTAGAAAAACTCAGGAAGGGATGATGAAGAGATGCTTCTTTTGGTTCGTTTCATGCTGCGGAACTCTGACTTCAGCTTGAGATGTGCCACTCAAATATTGCCCAGGAATTTCCAGGAATCCCAAAAAAACGAGGTGATCGAGGTTTGATCCAGGTTTGATCAATCCGGATTATCAGGGCATCACCGGCAGCCCTCGGCCTCAGACATCTGATGCTCCAGTTCCGCAGGGGTCAAAGTGAAGTAATTTTGCTCCGCGGCAAAGTTGTAAACATACCTGGCACGGCAAAAGAAAAACGAGTGTTCAGCCTGGCAGTCTAGAAGGCTCTATGAGACCTATGAGATCCTATGAGATCCTATGAGATCCTATGAGATCCTATGAGTCTGTGGCGTAGGACTTCCAGCACTTCCATACTTCCTAGCCTGATCAGTTCTTCCGAGCCTTGCCGCAAGAACATCTGCCCGGCTAGGCATGTATTGTGCAGCAGCCGCTTCTCGCTCATCCACGGCAGCAGAAGCCGGACTCAAGTGAAAAATGTGACTCTCGTCCACCTGCAATCGAAATTACATCATGAAATGCAAGGATGTTGGCCCTAAGAAGGTCTCAGCGGAGGCCGACATGATAGGCTTTACTTTCCCATGTGAACGGTTGAGAAGATGACTTGTGAACTTGTGAATGGAAAGTTCGTGGTTTCTTCCTTCCTGCCGTACCTGTGAGCATCTTACCGCTCATCCTTTCTGTTCAGCACAAGTTGCATTGTGGAAAATATTTGGATAAAACATGGAAAAACGCTATAAAACGCGGTAAAACATTACAAAACCATCTGATCATCTGCCAGCCCTTATTGCCTCAAAGTTCTCTGGGTTGTCGTCCTTGCTGGACTCACGCGGGCAAAAGCGCTCGATGACCAAAGCATAGGGAATGGCCAGCGGATCCTTCGTCGCTGGGACAGGGACAATGGTTGATTTATGTTGATTTATGTTATTTATGCTATTGTTCAACTTTGGGTTAATAACGGATTCCAGGATTCCTAGAATGGATGATGAGAATATATGATAATCCCATAAAATCCCGAAATCTTCCTGCTGTGCTCCGCAAGTCCTGTACCAGTCGAAAGCACCAGTCCAGAAGAACTGGAAACGGCAAGCGTTGCTCCACAGATCGCACCCCAGCGGTGGTCGCTGGTCGCGCAGACAAGGATGACCTAGCTGAGCTACACAGTGTAGCTTGGCAAATGTTAAGTAAATGTGGCAAATCCAACCATAAACCCCCTAGACCCTTTGGGGATGGCTTATTACACCTATTCCGCCTATCCCTGGTAAAGTTGGGGACAGTTTACGATTTTGTCTAGCGGGAAAGGCAATGCAAGTGCTGCAAGGGCATGGACTACCCAAATGTCTTCCCATGTCGGCATCAAACAGCACCAGAGGAATCTCTTGGAATCTCTATATCCAACTCTGGGCTTCCAGCTGCTGCCGAGCTTTTACAGCCGCCACCAAGGCTGCCCTTCGCCCAGTCAACAGTGTTTTTTTTGCAGTGGATACCTATGCCTACACAACACCTGGACTCGCTTGAACTCTCCTGTCAAATTCAAACTTAGCTCCCGGCTTGTCTGCATCGTTCTGAAGCGTACTGTGCAGTTTCACTATTGTCCTTGCCACCTTCCGGCTGATCCTGCAGACTCAATGAGAGTAAAATAATCGGGAAATATCATGACATATCCAGATTCCATTCAGTGCAACACTGAATGCAGATTCTCCCACCCTGTCTTGGTGTAGAGCCGCTGAGCGATCAAAGTCATGGAGTCAGCAGTGGGTGCGTGGGCAAACCTCAAGGGGGAAAGCATGAGAACTGATTGGTTGTGGTTGGTGGTCATGAAGATAATCGATTGGCGTTGGATATCCATAGTCCTAGGACATCTTTCAACCGGCTCTGCCTTGGTAGATAAGCCCGGATCCACGACAAATAAACCCATTTCAAGTTTGACAAGTGACCTGATTCGATGCTGCTCATCGCAGTTGGCCCAAGCAGAGGAATGTCTCCTTCCAATTTCAAGTACGATCGAACAAGAAGGACAAAGAAGGTTCACAAGTGTTGCCCAACATCAGCCCAGATATTCATCCAGTAATCATCTTCCAGATATTTTGCCAAATCAGAATCAGAATTAGATAATCAGATGATTACTAGATATTGGATGATTATCCAGATATGTTAGCAATTTGCAGTAATCATCCAATTGGCAGAAGCTCCGATCTCCTCTGCATCAGCAAGGTACTGAAGTTGCCACGGCTCACCGCCGTGGACTTCGGCTCTTCCTGGCGATCCAAGCCGTCCATTGCTCTGTCTATGTGTCCGTTTATTGATTGATCCATCTATCTATTCATCTTCCATAAATAAATCTCAAATCTCCATCTATTAATCATTAAAAATCCATCAATTGATCCATCATTTGTTCATACTATCATCAACATGCTGAATCAACGATCATCAAAGACAATCAAGGAACATTTCCTCGCCTTGGCGCCACTGCATGGGATGCAAAGTCCAAAGGCACAGCTTAGGCCGTGGATGAAGTTTTGAATGAAGATACTGAACTCCTGGGGATGCAGAGATCAGGGCTGATCAAGGCTGAACAAGGCGCAGAGGAAAAGGGACTCCTTCTGGCTCAGGCTGGTCTTGCCTTCCGGGTCTACAAGGCCAAACACCTTAGTTTGAAGCAAGGCATTGACTCACATTGACTTTCAAGATGCCGAAGAAAGCGTAAAAAGAAAATGACCAAAGGATGGAAGAGAACAGGATGTTGCCAGAGCGCAGCCCTGTAATTCAATCAGGTCCTAGATGCAAATAACAGTCTCTGGTCATCTCTGATCTGCAAAACTATTTATCACATCCCATCCCATCCATCCCATCCCAAAAAAACTTAACAATCTTTACAAGCATGGGAAGCAATGTCATATGACTCATCCGGTCGAGACACAAAGTGGAGCTTGTTGGTACTTGAAATGATCTCCGACATTAAAACACCAGCTGTGAAGATCTCCGGTAAGGACACAAAGGTTTTTTCAAAGGATACCTGTGACCTGAGTTCACATGGCATGGTGCCTGGCCTGCACCACGTTCAATACTTCCGAACAACATCGTGACTGTGGAATGACAAGCCTTTTGATTTGTTTCCGGTTGCATATCAAGATCTGCATCGCTCTATCAGCAGCCAACAGTTGGTTCTCAGTGCCAAGGGGCAAAGATCGGACCCCTCCGAAGAGTTTGCCCAACCTGCTAAGTCTCCAAGCAGAGCGTTCACTCGCTCTGACAGTAACGAATCAAAAAGAGGAAGAGTTGGTTCCAACGTGCGGAAAAACAGTTGGCGTCGGAATTCCACGAATATTCTGTGAGCAACGAGCTATCCAACGCAGCACCAGTTTTCCTATCCCCTCAGTCAGGCAACTCCAAGCATCTGGGTCGCGCAAAGCCTTGGAAGACCTTTTCCAACCTGGGATCTGCAAATGCGAAATATCCAAAGCACAGGTCCGGGGTCTGCAAATGAAGTGTTAGAGCTACCAGGTCAGAGACAGAGTTATCCGGTCAGTTCATGACAAGCCGCTGTGCGACAGTGCAACGATCTGACACCTCCTGCATCTGTGGAGAGTGGACCAAGGCTTGAGGCCAAAGGGAAGGGGACGAAAGCTAGTTGGGCAAGGAGAGATGTGTATTGAGATAATATGTGCCGCGACATTTTTTTCAAGTGTTGGCTAAAAATTGAGAAAGAAGGTCGCGCCAAATTCGTTCTCCACTAAATTAAAAAGAACAGGCTTAGAAACTGGAAACTTAGGTCCATATATTCATCGAGCAAAAAACTTGGGAATCTTGAGATGCGCATCTTCCATTCCTCGTCAGGACTGGGTCATGTTTTCGCGCAAACGTCGTGGGGAAAAAGAGTGCAGGGATCCAAGTGGTTACGTTACATTACATAACGTTGCATTACATTCCATTTGATAGATTAGGTTGCATTACATTAGATAGATTAGACTAGACTTGAGTAGAACAGATTATGGCGTTCATCTTGGTGTTCCTCATGCATAGCATGTTTTCGACTGCTGTGTTTGGCTGAGTTCTATCCTGTTTGATACCTTCACCAAATCCTCCTGCGTGCAGGTTATCTCAGTGCTTCGGGGCGCATGGCGTCAAGACTGGGTCATGTTTTCATGCACATGTCGTGAGGAAAGAGTGCAAGGATCCAAGTGGTTGTTCATGGTTGTTCTCTCACAATATTACATTACATTACATCACATTACATTACATTATCTTACCTTACATTACATTACATTGCATTGCATTGCATTACATTACGTTGCGTTACATTTCATCATATTGTATTAGGTCAGATTAGGCGACATTACATTAGATAGATTAGATCAGGTTAGATTAGATTAGATGAGATTAAAACTAGAGTATATTAGATTATGGCGTTCATCTTGGTTCTTCCTCATGCATAGCATGTTTTAAACTGCTGCGTTGCATTGCAATACGTTACACTCATAGCACTCACGGTTGGTGAATATCATCTTGTATAGCTGCGTGCATGGGCATGCGAACGTCTGATGGCAGATGAAACCCAGCGGGATGGACGCAGCGGGGCTTGAACCTGCGGGGGGAGGGGGGGTAAGGCTTCGAAATGATTATATAATCGCGCCGAACATCGGGGTGAACATTAGTTCGACAAGAAAATCATGGAGGATGTATCGCGTCTGCCCCCAATTCCTAAAGCAAATCGAACTCCAGCTAGCAAGCTAGCTTTCCTGATAACAGCCACTAAAAAAGCAACCCCAGCTGTTGGGCTGATTCACTGATCTGGAGCATGCATTCTACTATGTGCTCAGGACCTCTAGTAAGCACCTCTGCTCAGGACCCAAAAACATGCGAAAGCCAGGTGTTCTGCGAGAGAAGTGCGAAGTACGAATCAACCTCTAGCGTCTGGCTGAAGCAAAGATGAACATCATACCACATCAATTTCCAGAGGATACTGTACCAAGACCTACATGCAGGTGGACCCAATGCGGTCCTGCTGCTTTCGCAAGACCTGCCATCGACTGAAGGACCTCACTCTCAATGCTGCAAGGGAAAATGCGGCTTCACTATCGGAGAAACTGCTCAAGTCCAACTACCAGAAATTTAGTGCACATTCTTGCTTTGATGAAGATGGAACATCAACGAACATGCGCCCGAGTTTCAACATAGTTATGATATGTTTTTATATGTTTGATAATTCATCATGTATCATTTCTTCCTGGCCAAAGTCCCACCTGTTCCCTCTATTGAGTGGCCCGACTTGGCCCAGAAGCCCAAGGTCCGGTTCTGCATGCACCGGAACTCTGGTGCAGCAGCACCCAACAGCACAGCCTGTGTCAATGTGAAAGAGCTGACGAGCGCCGCAATACCAAAGAAACGAGAAGCGTGCAGGACTTTTCAGGACTTTTCAATCACTCCCAACACTCCAAACACTTCGAACTAATCACACCAGATTCGCTAGGGAGCAGCATGAAGCAACAACTGGATGCCAGATGATGCCAGAATCAATCCACATGACACTTGGGTAGTGAGCTCTCATGACGCTGTTTCTCCCCCTGGCCTGCCAGAACTCCAACTGAAAGTTCCAGCTGGGATCTTCCTCAACCCCACCACACCGTGGACAGGCCGTTTGGAACAAATCTTGCATTTCATAATTTTCATATTCAATCGTTCCCATAGATTTTGTGGATCGTGAATGATTGTTATATGATCTTGCGAATGATTCTTGGCATGCAATGGCATGCAAAGTCCAGGGTATGTAAGGTCGCATGCTACCTGCTTGGCTAGAAAGGATTCAGCATGTCTTGGGTCTCACTAGCCCCTTGGTGTGTTACATGGCCCTGCGCAAGAAAGATCAAGTGGATCCATATTGCAGTTAACTACGGCATCGATTTTGCCCGCTTCCGAAAAAAAAAAATAATTTAGCGCATTGACATAAACCATTGACATCCCTTGACCCCCTGTCCCATCCACATCAAGTTTCATCAATTTCACGTCCCCTGAAACACTGGAAATGTGGTTGAGTCTCAAGGCTTCCAATGATACTGGAGCACCATTCGAAAACAGGTATTGCCAGGTTTTACCACAATGGTTCCCTAATGGTTCCCATTGGTTCCCTGTGCTCTTCTTCAGGCAAGAATCTGCCATGATGGCATTGTGAATGTCCTGCGCAGATGGTTAATCCTGGATATCCACCAAAGTGGAGCATGTGTCTCCAGGCTATGCAGCAACGATATGAACAGCCCAGGATGTCTGTGTTTCACGTCGAGTTACCTAGGAAGCTAAAGCCAACAGCTCATGATATGCCAATTATTCAATAAAATCACAAGAGATTGATTACATATACAGTATTAAACGGTATTATAGAGTATATAGATCCGTATAGTTATACGATGTTATACGGTGTTTTCCGGTTAAGGCAATGTGAAGGAATTTGGTCCTACCATGTCCTACCCCATTCCCCCAATCGCCCCAAACCTCCAATGTGAGATCCACAAAGGACAGGCTCTGCTGTGGACTCACTGGATCGACTTCCTGCTCTCACTGCTCTCAGCATCTCTCAGCCAGATTGGGAGTGATAAATCGATAATTACCTAGACATCCTAGACCTGGCACAGGGAAGTGCTGATTCAAAGCGTCAACATCCAGAAATTCCTGAGTGTTCAAAGGTGTTCAAGCACTCAAGTCATTCAAGTGAAACTTGCCACCTGGGAACGATCAGTCCGGTCCGTAGCGAGCCTGGAACGAAAAGAAGCCCGGATAACAGGAAACTGTAGAAAACTTTTGATTGACTCATTTGGGCACGGATCTAAATTAGGTGCAGGTAATCAGGTAACCCCAAAATGGGATGGTAAAATGGTAAATTTTGACTCGCACCCATTTCTCGTTCAGAATTTCCACAGACACTGTTTGTGTAAACAATTCCTCGGAGAGTGTCAGGAGTGCCAGCCAAAAAAGAACATTGAATATCATTGAATTGAGTCTTTCTTTGACACAGTCAACGACCACGACCAAACTGACCAAACCCGACCCACCATCAAAGCTGATCCGACCTGGACCCAGGTCGACTCTGTGCACGACTCATGGCTACACCTCACCTGAACAGGTCAGGTTTGTCCTTGGACCATGGCACCCGACATTTCTCAACACAAACATAGAATTTCAAGTTGAAGTAGAAGCTGGTAGAACTGAAAGAACAGAAGTGTTCCACTTCGACCTGTTACTGTCCCCACGGCCTCTGGCTGGTGTCACCACTCCATTAAATCAGCAAGGATTGCCATGCAGCCACCATGAGTGGCGCAGCGGCCGGGCATGCGTAAAATTTGACGGAAGAACAGGAATCTTCAAACAGTTCAGCTTGAGAACAAGCAGTTTTGGAATGCCTGCTTCCTCCATGCAACAGGACAAAGAAACTCAAAATGTTGTGACTAAAGTATACTAAAGTGATGACAGATCTTGCTCGGCAATCTGCCTTTGAGATTTTCATTATGTTCCATTCTCATTAAGGGAGTGATGTGAAAAATGAATATTTACAAACCACACTTGTTCGCGTGATCCTTGGGATTTGGCTACATGCGGCTATCACCTTGTATTTTGGCCCGAGAATCCAGAGCCGCACAGTGGAAATTCAAACGTGTTGAAAGACAGCGATAAGAAAGTGCATGATTTGCATGCAGTTTAAGTTTAGGGTTCAGGGCTGGTACTAAGTGCTGCACTGGTCGAATGGGGTCACTAGCCACATCTAGCCACCTACTGTCGCAACTGTTGGAAATCACGGCCAGGCCTCGCACAACTTCACCTTCAAGCAGCTGGGGCTGTAAGACGTAGGATACGTAGGTAACAAACCAATCCCTGTCAAGAAAACAATAGTTTATAAGGAATGTGTGCTGACTACTGCTTGTACGATGTTCAATTTCTGGAAGATGAGGTTTCTTGTTCAGTAAGTTTTAGTCACATTTGTCCACAAAAAAGTCCAAGGACGCCTTGCGTCTGTTGTGAGGGTGAGAGGCACCTGGCGTCTGCCCGACAACAGGCCAAAGGATCAGAATGCTGCAAGGTATTTTGACTTTGACTTCCATCTAGTCAGCCATATCGGAATCCACCTTAAGATTAAGACGAGCCCCTCATACATCAACTCCTCGAATCGTTTTTCCTCTTTGAGATTGGCAGATGCACATGTTAACATGTGGCAAAGTGAGCCTGCAGGTGTTTCTGTCAGGCTGCTTGGAGGACTCAGGTCGAGCCCTGCCGCTGGGAAGGGCTGGTCTTTCATTGCATCACCTTTTAAAACCCCCGAGATATGAGGCATCCAAAAAATCTAAAGTCCACGTTCAAGATCTTTCATGTGAAGCACCCTTTTCCACTAGGCTGAAGGAATCATGCCCAACAATGGGCTTCTGACTCTCGCTTCAAAACCAAAGCTAGCAATGTGGCAAACCCACCGACGAACCTGGAATTGGGGATGCTTGATAGGACCTGTTTCTCCAGAATTAAGGAGAGCTTCTTGCTGGGTTCACATTAAGACACTCCTAGGGTTTATCATGAACCTACAAATTCGAATCCACACTAGTTCCAGCAGAAGCGATGTGTTGATATTCAACTGATGTTCACAGGTCAGCACACCTAGAGATCAATTTGTTCCATCCGACACAGAAGCAAAATGCGCGTTCCCTGCCTGACTGAGTATTCGCCCCTTCATCATCACTGTCATCTACAACCTGGCTTTCCAGGGCCATATGCAAATTCCTAATTCTCTGTGCGAGAGATATCTTCAAAACTTCAAAACTCAAAGAACGAATTGAAAGCAAAAGACAGACGGGATTTCGATGTTTTTTGCGATGTCCTTGTTCGCCTTCATGTTTTGGTTTTAACCGCAGGCCCGCACCTGTACAGATGGTCCCAGGCCATACTCCCTACGGAGGGACTCGTAGAGAAGCTGTGGATCCTGGTAGCACCGCAGCCAATGCTCAACCTTGGCCCAGGTGTTGAAGGTCACACAGGGGTTCCTCTGATGTCAGGGGCAAGCCTTTAACCGTACTGTAACACTCACACACTTAGGATCACAGCAGAACGGCAAGGAGCTTCAAGGTCTTCTCACCATTTTCTTGTGCCCTGAGAATCCGAACCCTGTTGCGGAGTTTGGGACAACCTGGGAGCTCGGGCTTAAGGCAGATTCTACCGCGCTCTGGATATTATGTGAAATGTCTCCTGGCGTCATATTGAAAGTCTCAAGGTGGAATGCCTGACTTGTTTGATTGTGGTGCATGCCACTGAAGAAGCTCACTGAACAGATCCACTGGAAGTGTGGAGTTTCTGTACCTTTTTTCCACTAACATCATCAAACGAACCAGTTTGCCAGCATTTCCGGGTTTCAACTTCCGACCAACTCCGGTCTTTTTTCTTCAGATCTGCTGTTTGAACCCTCCAACTCGAATCCATACCCAAAGGGATCCCAAAGGCACATCTTTCGACGAGGTCATGAATCTCGTTCGCCTTGGTGCCAGCGAAATCGTTGCGATGAGATGAATGAGTGTTGAGTACACTGCCGCATCATTTATATCCATATTTATATCCATATTCATATCGATATTTATATCCATTTATCATGAGTTCATCCAGCCAGGATACGATTTTGCCAACTCCAGCACCAGCCGACGAAGAAGAAGAGGAAGAGGAAGAGGCCATTCAGCGCACACCGCTTGGTTCAAGTGGATCCCTACAATTTGAAGAGTCAGATCATGTTCAATTTTGGTCTGAATTGACGTTTTGACTACAAAACCAAAATTTGACTTCATGACAGCCAAATGACTAGCTACAATCTGCATTGCTGTGGAAACACTGAGAACATCGGTGCGTCTCCATGGATAAGATGCGGAGAAAAAATGGTTGAATCCCTGGCCCATGATTGTGGTTTAGCCTTGGAGCCCAGTTCTGCGGCTGGAGTTCAAGCGCTGCAACAGCTACGTCCAGCTACGTCCTGACTTAGAAAGCTGAGTAATGCTGAGTAAAGGTAACAAAGCTAGCAAATCCAACGCTTGCATCTTGAGGCGGACTTTGGTGCCTTGGACAGATTCCAAAATAATAGGTTCAATGACAACAATGGCCTTTGGAATGCTCTTGAACACAAAACTATGAAGACCAAATATTGACAGCCCACAAGGCTGAGGCATAAAACGAAGCGGCAAACTGCAGAGACAATTCATTTTAACATGCAATCAAGAATGATTCACCAGTCAAAGTCTTCGTGGCCATCATCCCAATACTGCCAGGTGCTTCGTTCTTCTGATCTTGCCTCTTCGTTCCATATGCAGACTGGGCCCAATGGAAAGATTCTGACTTCAAGCTGCCTCCTTGAGCTTGGAACGATTGGGCCGACTTTGATGCTGCCTTTTCCACGGCCCTTCATACCCAGTCCAGGTCCGGTGTCCATCACATGACCATCTACCACCAATTCAATGTCTGCATCGCTGTACCCATCCTCATCCAGGTCGAATATCAGCTCAACTTTGTGGGAACCCGGACCTTCGACTTCAGGAGGAAGGTTCATCTTCTTGAAAAAATCCGGTTGGTTCGTGTACCCACAAATGTAAAGCCCGGCAGCATAGGGGTATTCATCATCATTCCACCAATCTTCATCGCGGTCATCAAAGTGTTCATCATCAACTTGTCACACCCAGCGAAATTGTGGATCCTTCCTCGCAGAGAGCCCACCGAAAGACAATATGACATCATGGTGCTGTCGCGCAATCATACTGTTGCACGAGAGGTTGCAGATGAATGAACAAACGTTGCCACTGACATTAAACTTCAAGCAGCGCGCTGAATGTGGGTTGCTGTGCCATTGGAGGGCGGTCTCTCTCCATGAGCGGCTGGCAGCTGCCAAATGCCAAATCTTGCTCCATGGCAAAAATTCCAGTACCGTGATATTGGGCAACATTCCTAAGCAAAAGCCGCTACTGATGAAGCATATAAAACGTCTTTCCAACAGAAGTCTTGGCAAGCATTCCAAGTCCACATCCTGCAAAGCTGAGGACTGTAAAGTGTTCAAATGATCGGTGCTGGTCAATGACAGTAATACTTGGGGCCATGACAAACCATGATATTGTGCAGTGATGGTTTCAAACGCGTGGAGGACGACGCTTTTCCTACTCCGTTAAGCCAAACACAGCTCAAGTCATTTCTCCAGTTGTGCAACTCGTTTTTGTGTGAGATTGAGTGCCCTGGTTTCATAGCATCAAACAGGACGATCTCGGAGATCTCGCAAAACTTTCAAACAGCACAAGATATTCACATGATTGCTGCACAAAAATCTAATCCAAAATCATCATCCAAAAAGTAATATCTAGTAATATCTAGTAATATCTAGTATCTAGGAATATCTATAATATATTCCAGACGTTTCCCCAACCTCTTTTCGGCTCACTGTACTGTGCAGCGGCAGCGGGGTCGAGCTTCAGCATCGGCTCCACCCCGCAGCGGCGAAACTGGGGAGCTGGTCTCCTGATGTTGTCCAAAAATTGGGGATTACTACACGATGAAAATCCACTTGCCTCCCTTGGATTGGTGATACCCTCCAAATTTGATGGTTAATCAGAGTGAATCATCATTTGTCCTAGTGAAATTGACATTGGGCCTTTTTTTTTTTCGGGGGGCGAACCCAAGTCTCACAAAGTTCTACAGGCTAAAAGTGGAGTGGGCCAACACCAAAATGTGCAATCATCTGCTGACTTGAAAAGCTTCTTCTGCGTGTCCAAGGCTTGATGATGTCCAACAACCAATTACCCAATTGCTTGGCCAATCAACCAGAATCCAAAGACCAACTGCTTCTCAGCTTCAGGTAAACACCCCAATGTCTCAAAGGATTCCCAAAATCAAAACCCAACAAATCATCCATGCCATCCCACTAAGGTGTGCTGCAAGCAAGGGACTGGGGTGGGGCTTTTCTTCCGCATCTCCCAGACCTCCTCCCAGTCATCTTCCGCAGAGATCTTCTCAGCGAAACGTAGATCCAAATCATTTAGGTCCTCAGAGGCTTCAGTAACAACCCCCCAACCCCTGCTCAGAAAGTTCTCTCCAAACCTCTGCGGGAGTTGTCATCATATAGATTCTTCAACAATGGGTACACTTAAACATCTTAAACCTGTCATGGTGAAACTCAGCCGGCTCCATACATGCCATGCCGTGCCAAGCTTCAATGTTCAGGTCAAAGCTCAAGACGCTGGAAGCTTCACTATGTACCTTGGCGCATGGCGTGTCTCCTTCCGAAACGCAACAAGGACCGCTTCAATTCTCTAAGTAATGTGAAAGACACAAAGCCAGACCTCCTGGAAAGGAATGACGAAACCAACAAAAGCAGGACCAACAGGGGAAAAATTGCTGAAGTAAAGGGTGGCAAACATCTTCATCTCGAGCTGCTGACCAACCAGCCCAATGGTGAATTCCACCTCTCAGGGTAAGTTTAATCATCCATGAGTGCTGCTAAATCTATCGATGACTTACTTTATATCGAATCAGCCCTGTTCATGGGGTATGTTCAAGAACGATCACTAGAAAGTATAGATAAAAACAAAGAAACCAGTATAACATTGTATAACCAGTTGTGTGCTAAGAAAACTCCAACTTGTTTTACATCTGTCTTTGCCAGAATCGGAAAAATGGTGGATTTTCCACACAGCCCTCCGCCTGAGCGCGTTGGCCCATCAGGTGAGCCGGCGACGCTGCTGGGGGGCACCCAGTGACCGCCCAAACCACCTGTCTTGTCGCGCTCTTTCTCCTGATCTGTCCATGGGACCCATGGGATGATTTGCTTCGACCTAAGGAAACCCAATATCTGCCTGGCATTTACTGCATTTACTGCAGCCTGACGTGTTTCCTTTACCGGGTCCTTGCGGGCCTCTTCTGCCTCTCTTTCTCTCTTTTGCTCCTTTGTCAGCAAGAAATCGCGTTCAAGTCTCATTACGCTAGATTCGGCTAGATGTTAGAATTTCCTTGGAAGGCACCTCGAACGGGAGTTCGACTGTTCTTGCACTCTTCCAAAAACTGTGTTTCTTCGCTGTGCAATAGCCTCACTTTGGAACATATCCAAAATTGTTTTTCCTTGACACAGGAGGCAGTCGATGACGTGGATCATCGTCATTGCTGCTCACCAACATCACCATGACCAACTTTTGGGATCGCAGCACCCCTCTCCTCTCGTTTGGCTTGCCGCATCTCTTCCCGGTAGCGCCGCTCCTCAAAAGAATCTTGCCAGAGGTAAAATCTAGAAAAAAAAGAAACATAACAAATTTAACAAATTAGAAAATCAGAAAGATCAAAAGAGAAAGATCAAAAAGAAATTGATTGTTCTGTAAATGTTGTGTAAATCGCCATTTCTTTGCTCATGACACCACGAGTTGGTTTTCAACTGTTGGGACAACGTCTCCTCCGCCTCGGCATCCGGCCCGCTCTGCGCAGCCCTTGACCTTCGCCACATGCTCGGCGCATCACTGGCTTGCGCCTTGCCAAGCCAGTTGGAACCCTCACAAGAAAATCCCAATCAAAGTCCAACATCTGATATTCTCATCCAATATCATCCAATACTATCCAATTGATTGCTGGAATTGTGTATCATCCTGCATCAATCTATATATATATATATACACATATTATGTATATATATAATACATATTATCTATGTATATATATAATATATTATATTATATATTATACTATATTATATGTTTATTATATATATATATATTTATTTACATATTTGTATAGACATATCATGATATACTATAATCTAACATTGTCATCCAATATCCCTGGTTTCCTCCGAAAAAGGTGGCCAAACCCCTGGTGCGCCTGCGCCGGTGCCGGACATCGCTGGGCATCGTAGAGGGAACGCTGCTGAGGGTCTCCCAGCACCTCCCAGGCCTTGGCGACCTGCACCAAGGATCATCAAGTTGATAATTTAATATCTTGGTGTAATATAAAAACATTAAGTATGAGACAGTTTTCCCAATCAATTGCTGGAATATGCTGGAATATAATTACCTAATATACCAACATTATTCATTATCTCTCAACTTTTTTGGAAGGTGATATGAGTATCACATTATCCATCATTATCCATCATTATCCCCCAATGTTTGCACCAAAAAAATGAGCCCATCACATGGCAGCGCCTGTTGAAAGCGATGTTTGGCTTGGAGCTGAGTCTCCTCGGAGCTGCCCGGGGGCAACTTGTCTGGGTGAACCTGGCAACAGCACTGTGCGGCGCAGCCGTTGAAGCGCAGGGAGATCCATTAAAGGGCAAGGGACACACAGATGTTTTCGGTGTTTTTTGATGTTTTATATTGTTTTATGTTTGTGTATTTTAACTGAAACATCCGTTGTTTGGGGGTTGAGTAAGTTTGACCCATGCCTATTCGGATGGTCTTAGGGTCAAACTCATTGGGTTGGGTATGGGGATGGGAATGAGTGGTGGGGCAGATGATATGGAAAGGAGTGTATTTTCGAAAATGCCCTATAGCCATCTATAGCCGAGACAAACTGAGATGGGATGAGCAAAAACCATCCAAACCTAACCAAACAACCACAGAATGTGTTTCGGATCCTTTCAACGAATTTGAAGTGTTGCGTGGATGTCCTATGGCTGCAACAGTCGACGTGAAAAGAGAAGCGATGCAGAAGAACCACTGACTGAAAAAATGAAACCAATGCATTGCAGCTTTGCATGGAGGAGGAGGAGGAGGAGGAGGAGGCGGAGGAGGAGGATGATGATGATGATGATGAACATGAACATGAACATCTGCAATCCGCATTGCCACCAATCCCCCAGCACCTTGCGTGCCAACTGGCGGAAGGCCTGAAAAAGGTGCGATCTCGAAGAATAGAGGCGTAAGGCATGTTTTATTCTAGATTTCTTTGGCTGACATTGGCACAGCTTTGAACCATCAGACTTGCAAGAGAACACTCAGGTTTGAGGGATGGCGGCAGCAAACCCAGTGAAGCTCTAATGTTTCATCTCTGTGCCAGTTGTACCCTGTCTGGCTCAATCTCGCCTTGCCAATGTCTTTCGATGAGGCTGACGGGTCCACACCCAAGACTTTGTAGTAGTCCTAGGTCAACTAGTACCAAAATGGCGAACATGGTGTTAGGCAGCGGCATCTACATGACCAAAAAAAAGCAGAAGAATCACAGAGCGGCCAATGCTGCTATTTGTTCACCAAATGAATGCTGCTATTTGTCAGTCCAACTCCAGACTAAATCTAGTCTGAAAAGAGTGCATGTCTTTCTAATGCATTTCTTTGTCTAGCCCTTCCAGGGAAACTCCGCTTTTGAAATCCAGATTGCTTTAAGACTTTACGTCTTGCCTACATCACTTGATAACTTCTGAGTGAAACGACTCCAAACATAATCCAATCTGATACCATCTGTGTGCAAGTTGCGAACAGCCCAAGTTTCCGCTTCCATTCAGCTTCAAACCCAGGCAGCGGAGAAAATCCTGAAATCTAGCGCAGCAACTGTGTGGCTCTGGATGCACTTCGACAATAGTCAAACGATATTCGATCTTAAACGATTTCATAGTCAAAGTGCAAAGTTCAAAGTATGATTTTCCGAAATCTATTGTATCCTAGTGTCGCTCGTGATGGTTGTTTCTTGAGGCGCGTCAATCGGTTGAATCCAACAAGCGGGGCCATGGCAATGACAAAGACTGTGCGCTGGCAAAGGATGGAAAGGAATGGTGGCTTGCCTAATTCATTGGAACAACAAGCGAAGTTGGTTGACTTGATTTCTCAAGTGGTGGAGAAAAAGGACAGTCTCTCAGTGCTGTTCGATGCGCTGACTTCAGTGGAAGCTTTCAATAAAGGTATATGTCAGGCTGCCTCCAGACAGTATCCTACGCTGCGATTGCTATACGTGTTGATTTCACGCCATTGCGGACAGAATCTGTTCAACAGTTTCAAGCGAGGTGTTTCTGCGACCTTGAACATCCGAAATTGCGAGGTGCACCTGCAGGGCCCAGACCAAAGGTTCAAGATCCACCTGCATCCACCAGCAACATTGGTTGACTTTCCACATGGGGTTCCAGTGACACTGCTTCGAAGTTCGGTGGTGCCTTGTACCCCGAAAACGCCCAGCTGACCCCATGCCCTTTCTTCATCTTCCATCTGTGCCCAATCCTTTGCTGGGCTGGAAAGCGAGCCACAAGCACTCGGAAAAACTGGTGGGAACCACGTCGAGCACGCAGCATCTGCTACCACGTTGCGCAGCACAGGAATCCAAAATGTCGTGTCCATTGGGACCAACGTGACACCCAGAGTCTCACACTCGGTGAGCCATTTCTCCTGCTTGACAATGATGCAGCGGTTTTGCATATTGGTGTGGCCACATTTGCGGGATAAGGAGCTATTCGCACGCGACAAGGAGCAATGCACACCCGCCGTTTCTGTGAAGCATTCGTTGAAATGCCCACGGTTAAAACTGCTGGAAGCGGATTGTGCCCCAGAAATCCGAAACCCCGTTTTGCAGTCCAGCTTGCTGTCAACTCCAAGCTCCAAATTGATGGCTGACACATTTAATATCCGCCGACCCCGGCCGACGCAAGGGGGAGCGCGTAAGGGAAGAAGAGGTATTGCGCTGCTACTACTTTTAAGCAAGCCTCTCAAACGGGCTAGAAATGCACATAGCCAGTAGCCAGGAGCCAGTGGCAGTAGCAGCCAGCAGCCAGTAGCCACCAGCCAGTAGGCAGCGGCCAGCAGTCAGAAGGCACGAAGCCAGCAGCAGGCAGCCAGCAGGTAGCAGCCAGCAGGCAGCAGGTAGCAGCCAGCAGCCAGCAGCAGCCAGTAGCCAGCAGCCTTCAAAAAAAATCTATATGTTCTATATCCGCCGACCCCGGCTGCGCAGGGGGAGCGCGCCAGGGAATAAGACAAGAGTTTGCCACCGCCAGCTACTACTACTACTACTACTGCTGCTACTGCTGCTGCCGGGAGGTGATTTTTTCCATTGTGTTTTCCCATTTGGGAACCGGATGTAAAGGTGGCCAAAAGTCATAGTAGCAGCAAGAGGAAAAAGGAGCCAAAAGCATCATTTTCTATCGGTTTCAGAAGTTACGTTAGGCATTTTCTTGGTGCAATTTCGGGGCTTCTCCGTCCTTCAGAGGCATGGTGTTTTGCTGCCGGGAGGTGATTTTTTCCATGGTGTTTTCCCGTTTGGGGACCGGGTAAAAGGTGGCCAAAAGTCATAGCAGCAGCAAGACGAAAAAGGAGCCAAAAGCATCATTTTCTATCGGTTTCAGAAGTTACGTTAGGCATTTTCGAGGTGCAATTTTGGGGCTTCTCCGTCCTTCAGAGGCATGGTGTTTTGCTGCCGGGAGGTGATTTTTTCCATGGTGTGTTCCCATCCGAGGACCAGCAGCAGCAGCAGCAGCAGCAGCAAAAGCCTCTGCAGCAGCAGGCGGAAAAGGTAGCCAGAATTCATAGCAGCAGCAAGAGGGAAAAAAAGCAGCCAAAAGCATCAATTCATCATCATTTTCTATGGGTTTCAGGAGTTACGTTAGGCATTTTCGAGGTGCAATTTTGGGGCTTCTCCGTCCTTCAGAGGCATGGTGTTTTGCTGCCGGGAGGTGATTTTTTCCATGGTGTTTTCCCATTTGGGGACCGGATGTAAAGGTGGCCAAAAGTCATAGCAGCAGCAAGAGGAAAAAGGAGCCAAAAGCATCATTTTCTATCGGTTTCAGAAGTTACGTTAGGCATTTTCGAGGTGCAATTTTGGGGCTTCTCCGTCCTTCAGAGGCATGGTGTTTTGCTGCCGGGAGGTGATTTTTTCCATGGTGTTTTCCCATTTGGGGACCGGATGTAAAGGTGGCCAAAAGTCATAGCAGCAGCAAGAGGAAAAAGGAACCAAAAGCATCATTTTCTATCGGTTTCAGAAGTTACGTTAGGCATTTTCGAGGTGCAATTTTGGGGCTTCTCCGTCCTTCAGAGGCATGGTGTTTTGCTGCCGGGAGGTGATTTTTTCCATGGTGTTTTCCCATTTGGGGACCGGATGTAAAGGTGGCCAAAAGTCATAGCAGCAGCAAGAGGAAAAAGGAGCCAAAAGCATCATTTTCTATCGGTTTCAGAAGTTACGTTAGGCATTTTCGAGGTGCAATTTTGGGGCTTCTCCGTCCTTCAGAGGCATGGTGTTTTGCTGCCGGGAGGTGATTTTTTCCATGGTGTTTTCCCATTTGGGGACCGGATGTAAAGGTGGCCAAAAGTCATAGCAGCAGCAAGAGGAAAAAGGAGCCAAAAGCATCATTTTCTATCGGTTTCAGAAGTTACGTTAGGCATTTTCGAGGTGCAATTTTGGGGCGTCTCCGTCCTTCAGAGGCATGGTGTTTTGCTGCCGGGAGGTGATTTTTTCCATGGTGTTTTCCCGTTTGGGGACTACTACTACTACTACTACTACTGGGGCTGCCGGGAGGTGATTTTTTCCATGTGTTTTCCCATTTGGGGACCGGATGTAAAGGTGGCCAAAAGTCATAGCAGCAGCAAGAGGAAAAAGGAGCCAAAAGCATCATTTTCTATCGGTTTCAGAAGTTACGTTAGGCATTTTCGGTGCAATTTTGGGGCTTCTCCGTCCTTCAGAGGCATGGTGTTTTGCTGCCGGGAGGTGATTTTTTCCATGGTGTTTTCCCATTTGGGGACCGGTTCAAAGGTGGCCAAAAGTCATAGCAGCAGCAAGAGGAAAAAGGAGCCAAAAGCATCATTTTCTATCGGTTTCAGAAGTTACGTTAGGCATTTTCGAGGTGCAATTTTGGGGCTTCTCCGTCCTTCAGAGGCATGGTGTTTTGCTGCCGGGAGGTGATTTTTTCCATGGTGTGTTCCCATCCGAGGACCAGCAGCAGCAGCAGCAGCAAAAGCCTCTGCTACAGCAGCAGGCGGAAAAGGTAGCCAGAATTCATAGCAGCAGCAAAAGCATCAATTCATCATCATTTTCTATGGGTTTCAGGAGTTACGTTAGGCACATTTTCGAGGTGCAATTTTGGGGCTTCTCCGTCCTTCAGAGGCATGGTGTTTTGCTGCCGGGAGGTGATTTTTTCCATGGTGTTTTCCCATTTGGGGGCCGGATGTAAAGGCGGCCAAAAGTCATAGCAGCAGCAAGAGGAAAAAGGAGCCAAAAGCATCATTTTCCATCGGTTTCAGAAGTTACGTTAGGCATTTTCGAGGTGCAGTTTTGGGGCTTCTCCGTCCTTCAGAGGCATGGTGTTTTGCTGCCGGGAGGTGATTTTTTCCATGGTGTTTTCCCATTTGGGGACCGGATGTAAAGGTGGCCAAAAGTCATAGTAGCAGCAAGAGGAAAAAGGAGCCAAAAGCATCATTTTCTATCGGTTTCAGAAGTTATGTTAGGCATTTTCGAGGTGCAATTTTGGGGCTTCTCCGTCCTTCAGAGGCATGGTGTTTTGCTGCCGGGAGGTGATTTTTTCCATGGTGTTTTCCCGTTTGGGGACCGGATGTAAAGGTGGCCAAAGTCATAGCAGCAGCAAGAGGAAAAAGGAGCCAAAAGCATCATTTTCTATCGGTTTCAAAAGTTACGTTAGGCATTTTCGGGATCTCATTTTGGGGCTTCTCCGTCCTTCAGAAGCATGGTGTTTTGCTGCCGGGAGGTGATTTTTTCCATGGTGTTTTCCCATTTGCGGACCGGATGTAAAGGTGGCCAAAAGTCATAGCAGCAGCAAGACGAAAAAGGAGCCAAAAGCATCATTTTCTATCGGTTTCAGAAGTTACGTTAGGCATTTTCGGGATCTCATTTTGGGGCTTCTCTGTCCTTCTGAGGCATGGTCTTTTGCTGCCGGGAGGTGATTTTTTCCATGGTGTTTTCCCATTTGGGGGCCGGATGTAAAGGCGGCCAAAAGTCATAGCAGCAGCAAGAGGAAAAAGGAGCCAAAAGCATCATTTTCTACATCATTTTCTATCGGTTTCAGAAGTTACCTTAGGCATTTTCGAGGTGCAATTTTGGGGCTTCTCCGTCCTTCAGAGGCATGGTGTTTTGCTGCCGGGAGTTGATTTTTTCCATGGTGTTTTCCCATTTGGGGACCGGATGTAAAGGTGGCCAAAAGTCAAAGCAGCAGCAAGAGGAAAAAGGAGCCAAAAGCATCATTTTCTACATCATTTTCTATCGGTTTCAGAAGTTACGTTAGGCATTTTCGAGGTGCAGTTTTGGGGCTTCTCTGTCCTTCAGAGGCATGGTGTTTTGCTGCCGGGAGGTGATTTTTTCCATGGTGTTTTCCCATTTGGGGACCGAATGTAAAGGTGGCCAAAAGTCATAGCAGCAGCAAGAGGAAAAAGGAGCCAAAAGCATCATTTTCTATCGGTTTCAAAGTTACGTTAGGCATTTTCGAGGTGCAATTTTGGGGCTTCTCCGTCCTTCAGAGGCATGGTGTTTTGCTGCCGGGAGGTGATTTTTTCCATGGTGTTTTCCCATTTGCGGACCGGATGTAAAGGTGGCCAAAAGTCATAGCAGCAGAAAGACGAAAAAGGAGCCAAAAGCATCATTTTCTATCGGTTTCAGAAGTTACGTTAGGCATTTTCGAGGTGCAATTTTGGGGCTTCTCCGTCCTTCAGAGGCATGGTGTTTTGCTGCCGGGAGGTGATTTTTTCCATGTAAAGGTGGCCAAAAGTCATAGCAGCAGCAAGAGGAAAAAGGAGCCAAAAGCATCATTTTCTACATCATTTTCTATCGGTTTCAGAAGTTACGTTAGGCATTTTCGAGGTGCAATTTTGGGGCTTCTCCGTCCTGCAGAGGCATGGTGTTTTGCTGCCGGGAGGTGATTTTTTCCATGGTGTTTTCCCATCCGAAGACCAGCAGCAGCAGCAGCAAAAGTTTCTGCAGCAGCAGGCGGAAAAGGTAGCCAGAATTCATAGCAGCAGCAAGAGGGAAAAAAAGCAGCCAAAAGCATCATTTCATCATCTTTTTCTATGGGTTTCAGAAGTTACGTTAGGCATTTTCGGGATGCCATTTTGGAGCTTCTCTGTCCTTCAGAGGCATGGTGTTTTCCCATCTGGGGTCCAGCAGCGGCAGCAAAAGTCTCTGCAGAAGCAGGAGGTTTCAGAAGTTACCTTAGGCATTTTCGGGGTACAATTTTGAGGCTTCTCCGTCCTTCAGAGGCATGGTGTTTCCCTGTGGGGAGGTGATTTTTTCCATGGTGTTTTCCCATCCGAGGACCAGGTGTGTTCCGATTTGGGGGACGGATGTAAAAGGTAGCCAAAATTCATAGCAGCAGCAAGAGGGAAAAAAAGCAGCCAAAAGCATCATTTCATCATCATTGTCTATGGGTTTCAGAAGTTACGTTAGGCATTTTCGAGGTGCAATTTTGGCGCGTCTCCGTCCTGCAGAGGCATTGTGTTTTGCTGCCGGGAGGTGATTTTTTCCATGGTGTTTTCCCATCCGAAGACCAGCAGCAGCAGCAGCAAAAGTTTCTGCAGCAGCAGGCGGAAAAGGTAGCCAGAATTCATAGCAGCAGCAAGAGGGAAAAAAAGCTGCCAAAAGCATCATTTCATCATCCGACCCCGGCCGACGCAAGGGGGA